GTAAATTTAGATACGGTGATAAGTAAGTTTACTCCTTCAAAATAAACGCTTTATAAAAATTGTAAAAATAGTGCAATTACCTAATCAATAAGAACAGATATAAGTTTTAAAAGTAATAACAAGCTTGGTCGTAATCTTTGCCTTATGTAGACATAACAGCGGTGTAGAGGCCTCTTTAAACCCCTATTTCTTAGATACAATAAAAGCTATTTAAAAAAAGTCGAGATTTAATGCTTCCACGATTACACTAAGGCCAACTCAAAGGTTTTTGTTTTGTAGATTAGAATATACCAAAAAGTTGACGTCTGTCGCATTAGTTTTAACGAAGGATAACACCATACAAACTATACACAAAGTATCATTACACATATGTAGTTTAAAAATGAAGGATTGCTTGTTTGTGAATACCGGGGACCAAATAAAAGTAAAATTACTTATTTTTCAAATGAAGGATTGCTTGTTTGTGAATACCGGGGACCAAATAAAAGTAAAATTACTTATTTTTCCGGTAAATCCGGCTGGCCCATATATGCCGAGGCATGCATCACGGTTACCTTCGGTTAATTAATTCGTTATGTTACGTTGGACAATCTGAAATATCAGAGTTTAATCCTCAAACAATTTCTAAAAGAGATGACAAATGAAAATGCATGTTCTTATTCATAAAATAATAAATATTATGATCAAATACTGACTACATGAGCTGTATGTACGTTGTCAATATGAACTGAGCTCTGTGGAAACATTAATTATAATTATTTTCTCATGAGCATGCTATCAAGTTAATGTAAACAGTTAATTATTAAAATGTCTTGTTTGACAGTGTAAGATTTTAAGTACCTACTACTACGGAATGTGGCAACTTCCTAATTGTTTTTATGGAAAAGTATTAAAGTTGATTCCGCTCGAGTTTACAGCCTTATCTAGTACTACATAACTAATTCAAACAAGTGTTCAAATTTATATTTTTGTTTGATTTATCGAAATAATTTGTACTTGTTAATAATAAATGACTTCATCTATTTATTTATTAACTTAAAGCTTGCTTTCAGCGACCACCTGATGTTATCTCGAAAAAAAAAATCTTCTTCCATTCTTTTCTATTCTAACAGCTTTTCTTTCTTTGAAATCTGTACACTTAAAATTACTTGCCCTGACTGACTGGTTCGTCAACGCAGAGCCTAAATCTTAAAACTTCAAATTTTGGCATCTGATGCTTTTTATGCTGTAAGCACCAGGTAAAAAAGGAATTTCGGAAATTTTACCCCTAGGGCGGGTGAAATAAGGGATGGTTGTATGGCAGTTCGTCATTTTCAACGTTAGAAACACGAAATAAGAGAATATTATCACGCAAGCGAAGCCGAAGTTAGTTTGATATATATTTATGTATTACATAACTTTTTATATTTCAAATTACGAAAAGAAGGACGTCGTACGACGCCAAGGGTGTCTTGCGCTTTGTTAACTTAGTAAGATAACTTTGAAGAACTGGCTACCGGAGTAGTATAATCCTTTCTAATATAATATTGTAGTAATCGTGACAAATTATTTTCTCACAACTTTGGCCAGGGAAGACTTGGCTAGTTCATGGACATATCTCAATAAAGTTCTCCCTCTCTGAGTATTAATCTGTAAACAGCGCATGCTCTATCACAAATTTCTGTGTGCATATGTAGATATAGAGGGCTTAATCTTAAGACGATAGATGAGCGTTCGTGATGTATCTACTATCATTCTGTGTATACTCGTAACTATAGTAATATATATAGATCATTCTCTGTAACTTTTAGATGGTGATATATGGAGATTTGTGTAGAAATAGAAGACTAGAGCAGTTCAATCTCTTATTTTCTCAGTGCTGTGACCTCCGAAGTCGAACTAAGACACATTTAACTGGTTCCTCCACAGTGATCTTATTTATTACTATTTGGTTACGGCGTTGCTACAATATAGGTATAACACAAATACGGGGACATCGGGTCATCACGGCAACTTTTAATGTTTTTTTTATAACATTGCTCTGTGCCTATCGATTGTAAAATTTGATCCGTTTTTCAAATTATTATTACTAATTTATATTTTAGAATAAAAAATGTGAGTTCTATTTACATTTCTTCTGAGAGATATAGATAAATAGTAAGATAAATAGTTTCCGACGTGACAGGGATCTTTATGGACAGGTAAAAAGACTGTCTCCGTCAGTTTCAAGGGCTACTGCACTGTCATACACAGCCAGACTCACACTTTAAGTAAGAAACTATATGTTTTTCGTAAGTACAAACTTTAATTAACATCAAGCTGTTAGGTCTAAGACATTTTTCATGTTACCTCACACGTGTGAGTTTACAATTTACAATTTAGCACACTTCCTTGCTCTAAAACAATTTAATCATAAAAGAGGTCTACATATTTCTATGCGATGCACTAGCTTATCAAGTTAGCTAGTAATATAATGTAATACTCACTTTTGTCGATAAAACTTTAAAAAAAAATACATTAGTCCATCTAAATAGTATTTTCGAAGTAAGTTTTTCACACAAAATTATTGCAAAAGATCTCATCTGAGCCAATGTCAATCTCGTTAAAATTTTCTATGGATTACAGTGATAAAATATTCAAGTCTGAAGTGAGAACGCTACGTAGTACTTGTTAAACACCATTTCTTTTGTTAAAATATTGCTAAATTTTTCTTTTAATTTATTTGTTTTGTTGCTTTGGAAAGAATTTTTATGCTCAGGATTAATAACCCCTAGACCAAAAGGTCAGCTTTGTTAGGCAGATTAAACTTGATAAAAAAATCTCCTCTATCACTGACATCCACTTCAACAAAATATTGCAATTTAACGAAAAACTACACTCTTTTTGTACTCACTTCGTACACGAAAGTTGAACGAAAGATGACAGGGGGCTTTTAAGATAAAGAGTTCTTAGGGTGCAGGTCGATTTGTTGTCCACGTCGCCATAATGTTGATTAATGGTTGAAGACTGAGCTCATTGTGTGTGACTGAGTGTTAGTAAATGTGTGTGAAATATTTGATGTTAAAGGACTAAGGTATTCATAGGGTTTTAGCCAGCGGTACAAATCCTCTTTTTTAAGGAGAGGCCTATGTCCAGCATTGGACTATTAAAGGCTGTTAATGTAATTTATAGGGTTTACTTAGAACTAACTTAATAAATAAAATAGAATGTCTTCGTAATTAAGATCTTTATAGTAACAGACTACTTACTACACTGCTGCTTTAGTTAGGTACTTTTAATCCTGTTGAGAGATCAGCGTTTACTAACAGTAGTACATAATTTATATGAGCCTCATTTCTGTTTTATAATATGTGACTTAATTGAGTAATAAAAACATTATTATTACATTATACTACTTACACAACTTAAGTTATTAAAAAAAAATTGTGACAAATAATTGCCATACAGTTGTTTGGAAATGTCTTTTAAGCAAATAATGCCTATAGTAGAAAACTCCGCTTCTTCATATTTTATATACAATCATATTTTACATATTTTACATTTTACATATTTTACATACTTCATATTTTACAGACATCTAACGGACAACGCGATCTAAGCAGAGCTTGTACTACGAAAGCTAGATCAACTTTTTGTAAGAACATACAAATAATATTGTAAAAAAAAAACACCCAAATAATATTGTATTCGACCTTTTTGAATTTATAAAACAAAACCAAACCAATCGAAATATAAAACACGCATAGAATATATAAAAGCTCATCTGAAGGTGAAAAATACACTCGTGAGCAGTCCAATTAACAACCGTCGCTCCTTGTTTGCGGACAAATAACATACACAAAACGTGTAAAATAAACTCTGTGTAAATAAGTACAAAGTTTATAATTGATTGAGTAGACAGTGTTAATTTATTGAGTAGTTAGAGCCCCTAGTATAAAGAGTTACGTACATTTTAATTAGTTGCTTAGGTTTTACACAATGTGTTTATTTTATTAAGACAAACACTTACTGTCACATGAACAGTATGCGTTTTCATAACAGATTAAGTAGTGATTGTAATTTAGCATTGTTTCCATGTGGTGACGGATTAGGAATACTGAGTGTCACCACCCCTATTCATCCCGTGGGTGTCGTAAGAGCCGACTAAGGGAGAAAACTACGCAGAACAACAGCACTACAGAGAGAAGGAAAACTTGACACAACACCTATCTATACCAACCCGTCTGGCCAGCGTGGTATAGTAGGCCAAAACCTTCTTTAGAAGGAGAGGCTTATGCCCAGCAGTAGACTATTAAAGGTTGTTGATGTGATTGTTTCCAATCCAGCAGATATTTGAATGATTAAAACTATTTTCACAATTTAATGTTTGCGGATCCGCAGTGTGTCGGGGGTCCCGGAGTTTCTCAGATTATGCTGGACACCGTTAGATTGTGTACGCCACTTCGCTGGATTGCAATCTCTAGATATGGGTATTTTAAATAATAGAGCATTCTGACGATAAAATATAAATATTAAAATGGTTTATAGAAACGTGTAGAATAATGATCAATAAACATAGACGTTTTTCAAAGAGCTTTACTTTATTTAGCCTTGTTGTTGTTTCATCAAATGTGGGAACGTTTTACAGTTTGCGTTTCAATCCATGATTGCCATTTTAATAAACTCTTTTTTCGAAGTGGTTTTAATAGTAATTAATGTTTGTTACAGCCTCCGTCGGAGGGAGAGTTAGCTGCTCCAGCGAGTGTTGTCAGTCGTATGCATAGGCTCAGAAACTTACGCAAAGGAAGTAGGGTGAGTTCCATGATGATTATGCAATTGATTCTTGGCGCACTTACACAAGGTAGTCCCTACTTCCACATGTTAGTGCACCACAGAAAGGTGTCATGGTCAATATGAAGTTTTAAAAGCCTAAAATAAATATTCCAAATGAAAATTTAACCAATTTCAATAAACTCGGTAAATTCTTATTCTGGTGTTATGTCAATTTCGAATAAAGTTATAGGTTTAATTTAATAAAAATAATGACTCAAAAATTGGTAACGCTTTGTTAACGTACATATGTGTAATAAATAGGTACGTAGATACTTAATTCCTTACTCGATATCATAAAACTCTAATGCATTTTTGCAATTTGATAAAATAACCTATCAGAATATACAGATGTTTTATTTTTCAGCCACAAACGCTATTTAACGACAAAGGTAAATATCCTACGCTGACCCGTATGTCGTACTGCCAATGTCGCTTGCCACGAGTGTTCACGAGCGTCTTCGAGAGGTTCGGATGGTCACACGTCGCATTGCTGCTTGACAAGTCTGATTTATTCTCTTTAACAGTCGGTAAGTTGAATACACGATTACGATATAGTTTAAATTGTTATTTTGTTAATAGAAATTGTACAGAACTTTCAATGTCTTTCCTTTTAATCATCATTTAATATTAATAATTTCGGTACGAATAAGGATTCGATTTTAAGGATTCTCATTATAGTGGTAAGCGGTCTCTGTTCTGGACATCCAAACATTAATGGTTTCACTCAAATGTTGATAAATAAATTCATTTTGCAAATAGGTCATTTCAGATCTGTCAATTAGTGTCTTTGTTATTATTGTGACCGAGGCAGTTTCTTTTTTTAAAAGACAATTCCCGTACTAGGAATAAATCATGTGTCACGATGGACTTTATAAACATACATTAAACGGACACAAAGGACACCCAGACTCAGAACAACAATGGATAACGCAAAGTGTTGGCCCATGTGACGATCGCACCCACAACACCCAGCGAAGTACACACACTACGCCAGTTACGCCACTACGTACGCCAATTTACTATCCTACTTATCCTGTTTGAAAAATAAAACATTCCCAAGAGTGATTGGCGTCAGGCAGACAGCCGAACAAGACAAAAAATAGAGCAGTAAAATCGTGGTCTTATAGATGGGGCAACAATTTTTTACCAACTATCTCTGTTAAAATTTCTGTCCCGGTTGTGACAATTAACGGCTTGTACAGTTATTTATGAGTTTTTTTTAATAACAGGTAAAAGTCTAGAGTGGGGCCTCCGGAAGGAGGGTGTATTGAAGGCTGTGAGGGAACTCGACGGTAATGAACGTGAGTCCTGTGAAGCTTTACTGAAGGATGTCAGTATGTACGCTAGAGGTGAGCAACTATGGGACTTCTACTTTAAGGATGTACCTGTATACTATGTGTTAACACTCTTACGTGATATACACAAACTGAACCTTGTCATTAGTCATTCACTGGCACAGACTGGCCTGTTGGTCCAGTAGTTAGTGATCCTAACAGCTGAGCCTGAGGTCGTAGGTTCGATTCCAGCCCAGGACAAATAATTGTGTGATGAACACGATCATGTTATAGATAAATTACACCCATACACAGAAGTGAATGGGTGTAATTTATCTATAACATATGTGTTTAGTAATATATAAGTATGTTTATCAGAATTTTTGTCTAGTTTGGGATCAGACGGCCGCGTGTGAGATGTGCCAGGTAAAAAAGACAGTTACTGGATAGACACGATACGAAAATTTATCGATTCGAAATAACCAAAACTTCAGAGTTTGTTCTAAACTTATACTATTTTTTGTGTTTAAGTCCACGTTTATTTCTAAATAGATATTACAATAAATCATCGTTAGCCTCAGACTCTTAGCAGATGTTTTGGAGGGCCCTGTTGGTGTCGCTTATAAATGAGTGTACAATTTAGGTCGGTGATTTATTAAAACGATTAGAGCGCATTATCTTTTTTACTAAAATATTCTCAAATAAGCTGAGCTGAAATAAATAAGCCGGTTTTACCCACTTTTTGAAAAGGTAATATAGGTTTACTTGGTAAAGGTTTACTTCGTTTGTCGTATTTATAATATAAGCCATCACCGTCTCCAAAACGGGTTTTGCTGAAATGATGGCGAGATATCTGGGGACGGGGGTGGTGGAACTTTCTATCTATGCGGTTCGTTTACTCGGATGGCAATATACATCATCTTCCTACTCTTTCCCAAATTTATTTGGGGTCGTTGCCAAGAGATTTTTTTTCTATTCTCCTCCTCTCTCCACTCTCCACTCCCTCATCACTCAATGTCCTTTTTCTCGCACTCCTTCATATTATTGCGAAATGGATATGACTTTTTCTTTTAAGAATTTTAAATATAATAAGTATACAGTCAAAAAATAATAATTATGTATTAATCGTGTAACGATGAGATTAATAGAATGTAGATTTTCAACTGCAATTTTTTTGTACCTACTCGTTTTTTAAAATAAAGTGGCACACTGTAGCTTATTATATTTGCATAACCTAATATTTGTATATAGAATAAGTGCAGAAAGATTTTTTTGCTAAGAGACCAGCACAAGGTCACGATCATATCTTTTACATGCGATCGTGATTTCATTTAAAAATTAAAATTTAGATTGGTGACCTTTAGAGGTCAAAATCTGCGTACTGAAAGTCATATCCGATTGTAATTTATTCCTCTCTTTTCAATTCCGGGTTATTCAAAAATATACAATCGTATTTGAAAATTGCCCTTGACCCTAGAGATTACCTTCAAGGTTGCGATCAAGGTCACCAATGGATGGCCAGGGAAAATTCCTGTAACTTTTGTACTTAACGTATTTCCTAAAAATGCATACATAGCAAATTATTCTGCTGTTCCGATACTTTTCTAACAATCTGTATATTTTGACACGTTATATTACAAAATTCTATAAAAACCAGATTTATGACGCAAACGTCATTGGGAAGGCGGGAAGGGTTCGACTACGCAGTACATACGGTTATCAAATTAGCATATAATACATAAATTGACAGTGTGTGTGGATGTGGATGTACTGACAATAGCTCATCAATGGTGATAGCAACAACATTGCCATTTCTGGTAAATTCAATAAATCATTTCCTTATATATTTAAAATGTACCTTTTACCAAACTATTACAAAGACATCGACGACATTTGTATCTGTTGCAGTTCAGTGACAAATCATCGGGAGACCATTGGTCTTACATAGTTAGTAGAATACGAAAGTGCAAAACTATTCCGACGACAATCCATCGACCGTTTATTGACACAATGTTAAAATAGCAGCATCTAAACATATAGAGGAAGTTCCTGAAGTATGTGAGAAACCTTCCCTTTGACCTATGTAGCAAGTGGCAAACTATTGTCTCTACCTATCCCGAAGAGAGAAAAGCTTGAGTCTATACTGTAAGCATCTAGATAGAGAGCCAGCTTACGGAAAACTGTGATCATTTTTCCTTAATCTTATTAGTTATGACATTATTAAGCAAATTTTCTGGTATACTGTAAAAGAATATTCTATTACAAATTAATTGAATAAAATATAAATAATAAATTGAAAACCTCAGTTATTATAATTATTGTAGGAGCCTCGACATTTCTGTATAAACAAACAAAGGTAACAAAGGAAATTAATAAACAAAATTTTGATTGCTTAAGTAATAATATATACCTACATACCTTCTGTACACAAATAATTAACCATAAGCTAGTGACTATATGTACATATATGTTATACGAGTAGAAGTGGGGGATGATTGAGGTTAATATATTGGTATAAGTTTGCAAGAACAAAATCTCTTTTACCTATATAAAAATAGCTTTTTACCGCGGCTTCACTCGCGCTAATGTGCATTTTGATAATCCATTCAGGTATCTCTTGGGCACAGAGTTTTTTCTGGTCGCAAAATACTTTGCTCTAAGAAGTTAGAGTGAAAACGTTACAAACCCCGCCCGTCCACCCGCGGCCACACTCAGGGTGGCATGAGATACTAGTAAGTACGCCTTTGGCGCCCGGTTTGCTGGCGACGAATTGGGTCCGAGTAGAGGTTGTCCTCCCGGGCTGACGACACAAACCACCATTTTGGTCCACATACATGACGGTACGCTCCTCTAAATAGTCTGCCACTAGCCGCCTCAGCTACTCTGGCACCCCGTGGTAGTGGAGGGCTTCCCTGATGCACCTAAATGCAGACTATTGAATGCGTTGGCGATGTCCAACCACCACCAACAGCACCGAATTGGGCGTCCGACAGATCAGGGCCAACCTCTCAGACAATTTATCCGCTTCGTCCAGCAGCACGTTGTGCTTGTAGGCCGCGAGTGACGGGAGCGATAATACAGCCTGACAGAGAATCCCTTTTCACTGAGTAGGTGAGGACACTTAAACCCCTCGTCGCCTTCTGATTCTGGGGGGAGGGAAAGAAGACTCAAAAGGCGGACGAAAGTGACTACCGCCGCGCATAGACCAGGTGTCCATCGCCGGCGGCAGTCACTTACCATCTCCAGAGTGGACACCACTACGAAAGAGGCAGAAACCTCTACTAAATAAGGTTTAAAAAAACAACATTTATTTGGTAAAAATTCAAATTAGAATCACTAAATATTTTCTTTTATTTTTTGAAAAATTATCTACCCTATAAATATTTTATAAGTCTTAGTAAGACAATTTTCTCGCAACAGAAAATGTTAATCCGTCTATCTGCTTAAATTATCTACCTTTACACGAAAGAAATCACGTATTTCATTTATGTACTAAAAGAAGTTACGAGGCTTTAAGTTAAAATGTAAGTAAATATTATCATTCAAGATTAGATTGTGTACTTTGCTTGAGCTTTTTAAAATAACGCTCTCAAGATTGAGCTACAGTATTTTTAGCTTTCAACAAGACTTGAGCCGTACTAAAAGACTCTTGTACTTGCTACTTGAATTAAATATAAGGAAAAGTACTTATTTTTTGTTCTTGTACAGACAATTCCTTGGCTGGAAAACGTGTAGACATATTTATTATCTTTTAAAGTTTCTGAAAAGTCTTTATACGTCAATGTTTAGTGCACCAGTCACAAATTTCAGCACCACCTTGAGGTAGGCTGGGAGAACATGCCTGTGGCATTAAGTCCGCCATTTTACTACTCGTAGTTGTGCATAAAGAATGAAAATAAAATATAAATAAATAAAATAAATAAAAGTCTTTTACTTAAACATAATGTTATTTAGTCTATACGCGTGCGTTTTAGATTGTGTCAATGTTTGTTTTTTAGCATATGAACTTCATTTTAGTTCAAATATGGTAAAAAGTTAGAGAGTTATTAGTGTACTCTGACTCTATTGTCGAAACGCCTTAGTTTAGGCTGTGAGGTTGTTGAGGAGGTACGCAAGGGGTTCAGCCTTATGAGAAGAAATGGCAAACAAACTCATGGAAACTCTTTCGCAATTTACAGATAAATACAGTTTCATTATTAAATATACCACAACATTGTTATGATATGTGCCAGTATGTCCGTTATTAAGGACTAAAAGGTCAAATGATAAAAAAGATTAAAATAAGAGTAGGAAAAAAAGAATAATCCTATTTAAGATTTTAGTCGGTTCGATTCCGACACACTGCCCCATCGTAATTCACGGTAAGGTGACGGCTCGAGGCGGCTATCACACGCCCAAAAAAAGAAACACTATATGTACATGGGTATATGTGTGTCTGGCTACCTGCATCATTTCGTCGCCATAAAATAACATAAAAAGCCTAAAGTGGTAAACTGAGACTTTAAAGTTGTGTTAACTTTTATTTTTGGTGCAAAAGATTTCCACCACCCTAATGTAGATTGAGAGAAAATGACTGATGCATTATGTCCGCCATTGTGCAGAAAGAATAAAAAAAAAAAAAACGGCATTAAACACAGTTTGAATAAATTCTTGGTAATAGAGAAATAAATAAATATTCTGATATATTAGCCAAAACTAAGAATTTCTATAGACAGCTCAATATGTTTTTTTTTGTAATTTTTGTTAAAATTTTACATACAAGTACTTCACCCACATATTTACACCTAACGAAAACCAACGACTTCGTACCATCTGAATGCATGTTGGTCATTTTTATCCCGTCAATCTGAACAAGACAAAACTGTTCATTTTAATATATGTTACTAGATTTCCCCCGTGGTGCCCTTCGCATGTAGGTCGGCTATGATGATTAAAAGGAGCCTATGTGCTTTCTCAAGAATCGAATTATCTCCAAATTTTGTTTAAAATCTGTTCACCGGTTTAGCCGTGAAAGCGTAACAGACAGACAGTCTGAGTTACTTTCGCATTTATAATATTAGTAGGGATTTTTACTCCTCCGATTCGATAATTATAATTGAATTAATTAATGCGAATTTAAATTTACTATTAAAAAAAAATACTATACAGAGCGTAGGTTGAAAAAGAAAAAACTTAACTTTATGAGTCATAATACTAAGTGACGTTAACAAGACTGTAAAATCGGATTTTATTATTTTAGACCTTGCTATTGTTTTATTTAAGAACACTCTCCTGGTAGAAATATTAACAAATAATGGAAATGTAAAAGTATAAATGTCATTGATAGGACACCAAATAAATAAAATAATGTGACGACAGTGTAGTATGAAGTTGCAAACTGATATTTCTTTGAAGTTTCTACAGAACGTACCTGTTCCAAGTTCAATAAAGATACATCAATTTGACTTACAGATAATAATGATAAAGGAATAATTATTCCAATGTAGATAGAAACTCGAAAAGATAAAAGGTCAGTAAACGAATATAACGCGTTCCTTATTTGAAAGAAAGAATGTCGTTTAAGTTATGTAATAAGTTCGCTTATAAAGGCATTCCTGAAAAGTTTCGTAGGATTTTTTTATGTTTATATTACGCTAGTAAGTTTGAACCTACTTGGCGCACGATCATAAAATACTGACAGTGTATATTTTCTTCGACTCTTATTAAAAAGCGTAAACCTCGTCTATTTGTGGGTAATTGGAAAACTGTCAGTTATTATCCTGTATATTTTTCTTTTTGTTTTCCGTTTCCAGCCATTTAATCGAAGCTTGTTGCTTCAATGTATTTCTTCTAGGAAAATTGCATTAAGTGTTTATTTATCTTTTGTTTCTATGTGTCTTGTATGGTGGATGCATGTTTTTATCGATTTTAGTCGCTATACCTTAAAATATGTTAACATTCACCATAATACCCTGACAAATGTTAGAGGTAACTAAATATGACGAATAGCTGGTACAAAAAAACACAAATGCATGTATCTGGCTATGGCTTTCTGAAAGATTATGGAGGTCTATTTTACTAATTAAACACTTTTTCTAAACCTAAGCATTTAATATTCCAAATTTAATACGCTTACGTGTGACTATTTTTTTTAAAGTGTGTGTAAGTGTGTTAAGAGAGAGTTTTCTTCTTATGTTTATCATCATCATCATCATCATCATCATCAACAACAGCCTTTAATAGTCCACTGCTGGACATAAGCCTCTCCTTAGAAAGGAGGTTTTGGCCTTATGTTTATATATGGATAATATACTAAGGACACTAGGTGTTCCGTTGTGACAACAATAGTTATTAATCTAGTGATAACATTTTGTACCCAGTTGTAATCCTAAGTGTTCGCGGGTCTCTGGTGCGAGAGTTCCTTCTGGCTGCACACGCACTGGGGATGACACACGGTGATTGGGCCTTCCTGGACGTTGAAATATTTCAGGTGAGGACACTAACTAGTATAATGATCCACATCAGATTACATCAACAGCCTTTGATAATCCACTGCTGGACATGGGCCTCTCCTTAGAAAAGAGGTTTTGGCCTAGTATACCACGCTGGCCAGACGGGTTGGTATGGGGTTTGTGTCAAGTTTTCCTTCTCTCTGCAGTGCTGTTAACCTGTGTAGTTTACTCCCTTAGTCGCCTCAAGTTGCAATCAAAATTCTTGGCATCGCAGCGGTGCGAACGATGTAATTTAAAAAAAATCTCAAAATTCACTGCAAAACAAAATACTTTTTGATTTACGATATTATTTAATCTAGTTCTTTTAAATTTAATTTATAATTTTTAAATTTATAATAATTTATTTATAATTTCTTGGAAATTGTAAATAAAGTATTAAAAAGTATGTTTTGGAGCAGATGTTTGTGAAAATTTAATATACATTGTAGAAATTTTCATTCACGCGTAGCGGCACGCGCCATCTCATTTTATTTAATGGTTTGCTATATTAGAGGTTTGTGTGATGACGACCTTTTCTAAAAATAATAGGTGTTTTAGTAGATAAATATTAATATTTAATTTGTCCGTACAATTGTCATGATATTAAGGGTACTAATTATAGTTTTCTTACTAAGATTTGTATTTTTTTTTTTAATTTTTAGTGCTCTTTATCAGTATTGTTTTTTGTCTCAATGTTCTTTTGTGCTTCTTTTGTGCACATATCTCTGTTACACGACACAAACACCTAACAAATATCTTGAAATAATAAAATGAGGTCAATACATGATTAGATTTTCGAAATAGTTATTTTCTAACTCCTAAAGGTCCTTCTATAATCAGCTCAGCAACATTAACAACTGTAAAATTTGAGGGTTTCCTTCGATTTCACTAAGATCTCATCATCAAATCCTGATTTGGTGGTAATGGGACCACCTGAGGAGCATACCCTTTCGATTACAAAAATAATTGTGAAAATACAAACAAACATATAAAAATAAATACAGACGAATTGATAACCTCCTCTTTTGTGTTTTGGAAGTCGGTTAAAAAGGACATGACTCCTTGAAATATCTCTCTACTCTAGTATTTCAATCAAAATGCTTATCTAACATGGACATCCCAATACATATATTAGTTAGTTGTGGAAGGTTTAGGTCGTTCCTTATAAGTTGAAGGTCACAGGCTCTTTGTTGAATTGGATAATCCAGACGAGATTGAAGGGACGCATTCTCGATGTCCGTTTCAATATCCACACAGGAGAGAGATTTAATAACTCACGTTTTATACAAAGGAAAATAAACCTTTCGAATGGGTTATACAAATTGGTACAAACGCTTTCATGTGTAACCTGAATTGCAAACATTTGAATAATGAGATTAAATAATCAACGTTCTTTTATATTAAATTTTAATACCATTAATGTTTAATTTTATTTGGTTTTACATGTACTCATTATCATCCATATACATTGTAAGACTGTGAGAGAAGGCGGGCAGCGTTCAAGGTGTTTAAGCGCAGGAGATATTTACTAAGAATCGCACGGTCCGGGCGGTGCAGCGATCCGATTGGTCTAGCAAGTTCCTCTACAGAAGTCTGCAGTTAATCCACACCAATGTGTAGCATCGTTACGTATTCTGTTGAGGAGTAAGGCAGCCACGACTTCATCGGAATTCATAGGTGTTTGAATTTGAGATTTGCGACTGTTAAGGTCGTCTGCGTATCTGTTGCAAAAAATTTTCACACATAACGTAGAAATTACTGACTGTTATTTTCTGTTCACCATATTTGCATATATTTTTTTACATCCAGGGTGGGTATTGGGGCGAAACTGGATGGGCAGCTGATGATGAACGCGACGCTGCCGCTCGAGCTGCGTACGAAGCCTTGCTTCGTGTGTCCTTAAAACTACCTACGGGTGACCGGTTCGATGAGTTTGCTGATACAGTGAGGGCGAGGGCCAAGCAGCATTACAATTATACTTTTTCTGATGGAGAGGAGGTAATTTAATAAGCACTTGTAAAAAGGCCATACAGAAATGAAAATAAAAGTGTGTATTGCTTCTACGTAACGTAATGCAACGTATTCAACGTTTATTACGCAATTTTCTATTCAAAAAACCCAATATACCTATAGTATAGAAACTATAACGTTTAATCCAAAGTTCTGCCATTTCTTACAATAGGCTTTTAAAGACAGCCTTTTGTGGCTACATTCCATTGTGAAAAACTTTCAAATACTTATTAAGACAAAAAATAATTGTCGGGTTGCCTCCTTTAAAAAAGTATTTCCTTCGGCGTACAACAACTTTGCAAAATTATCATCCTCGGGCACCCTAATTTTCTTTAGCCTTCCTTATCTTTCTGGACCTTGCGAGACGTAAATATCGATAGATCTTTGAGTTGGTACAAACACAATAACTGTACCTCTGTCGTAGAGTTACTCCTAAAATAACACGGTATTAGTAGTTCCAGTTTGAATCCACAAGGGATAACACATGATCCGCAAGTTATTGGACGGGCCTGTTGGTCTAGTGGTTAGTGCCCCTGACTGCTAAACCGGATTTCGTGGGTTCGATTCCCACCCAGAACAAATATTTGTGTGACGAGCGCGATCGTTTGTTCTGTGTCTGGGTGTAATTTATCTAAAATATGTATGTATTTAGAAATATATAAGTATGTTCATCAGCAGTCTGGTTACCATAGCACAGGCTCTGCCTAGTTTGGGATCAGAGAGCCGTGTGTGAGATGTGCGAGGTACTTAAAAAAAACATGGTATTATTGTTATCCTCCTGTCTATGTATGTCCTGTGTCCGTTTCATGAATGTTGGAAAGTAGCGCGCAACATAGATTCCGCTGCTGGAGCGGGAGTTGTCTTCTTAAAAAAATAGAAAAAAATTGTACCAACCTTTACTTTCTACTTTAAATATTTAATATAGTGATGACACCTAGTAAAAGTTTTTTGTTATTTTTTGTTACTTTTAAGAATTTAAATTTTAAACATCGCTTGTAACTTTGTACGCTTGGTTGATGGTATTAATTTTTTTTTACTGTGCTTGCTGTGGTCTCCTGTAAGTGAAGGAGTACACCGACTTTAAACCCATTCCTTTAATTACTGTTTTTTTACTTGTGTATATCTTTCGTAGGAGATCCTAATAAATAAATAAATAAATAAATGCTAGTCAATTAAAAATAAATATTTGTTATAGATAGAGAGCGACCTTAAAATTCGATCAAAATTTATCGATACAAAATTTTAACAGAAACATAAATACAGCTTGCTAATTGGAGTAGATTTATTTAGGCACACAATTTTTTTTAAATTTATTTTTATATCAGTCTATTGATTCAATGGGTAACGATGAAGTGTTGCATAATGGTTATTGAATAATAGTGTTTTGAAAACGATCATTTCTTGTAAAAGTGCGTTAAGAAAAATGTAAGTTAAGTAAAATATAACTATGTCACAATAGTTTGCCACTTTTTTTTTCCGTGCGGAAATCCCCTCGGATACGACCTGTCGGTGGCATGTCGGACTGGAACCGACTAAAACCGCACGCCATCTCCCGTACTAATAGCCGGGGAACCAGGTATACCCTAGAAAGGAAGTCCCTGGTGCAACAATAGTTTGCCACTGCAAAATTTTAAAATCTTCTATTTCTTCTTCGAAATTAACAACAATAAACTGTTCAATATCATTGCTGTTAACTCTGTTTACCTTTAAACCGGTTATCATACGTAATCTGAACATGGTAAGCGATTGCCGAGTGGCAGTTACTCATGTGACTTCAACTTTTACTAGTATGCGATTTGCTATTACAAAATCACGATCGCATTAAAAAACCAATCAAGCTATTATAATTATGTGTATAAATAATTTAAATAAATACATATAAATAAATAAATAAATAATTGATTTGCAAATGCATGAGATTAGCGCTACCGGTTCTAGTCTATGTGTAGTAACAATATGAGTACAGATATATTTATTTCTAAAATATGAAAGTAATATAAAGCAACAGACTTTTTCATGTACTGATTCTGTTAACAGGTGAATTTCTTCATAGGCGCGTTTTACGACGGGGTGTATTTGTTGGGTATGGCACTCAACGAGACCCTCACAGAAGGTGGAGACATTAGAGATGGGAGGAATATTACCAGGCGGATGTGGGGACGAGATTTTCATGGTAAGGTTACTTTTGATCATACTATCTATACAGTCAAATTATACGACCTCGGAATAGATAAAACCTCATAGGATTTATTATTTTGCATTAAAAAATAATGGGAGTTTTCGGCTACCAAGTCAAGTCTACGAAAATTAAAAGAATTTTTTTTTTTCCATTTAAATAATAACATATTGGATGGGGTGACTGTAGGCATAGATTGGTCTGCAGGGATAGCGTAGTGGTTTAAGCCGTCACCTCGCTGCTTCTTACAGCGCTGAGTGTTTTGGGTTCGATTCACACATAGAACAATACTTTCTGTGATCCACAAATTGTTGGTCTTTGTATCCGTTTTATGAATTTTGTAAAGTTCCCAGTGACAGGATATATTCATAGTACTGGAGTTGTCTTTAAAAATAAATAGACAACATTCATCGAATAAAAAATATTTAGACACGTACATATATGAAACGTGTTGTATATAACAATACAATTTATTTTAGATATTAATGATATATTTAATTTCACGGATATATTGAAGTTCAAATCATAGATGCATGTAATTTGTTCAAATATTCATCAGTTTGGAAGCAAGGGTTTGCAATATTTTTAGACCTAGCAATGTCGGAGTTACATAGCAAAAATAGCAGAATTATTAACATCCTCTATTTTGAGACCCGGATAAAATAAATCACACAATTTAAATAAAAATTGGTAATGATCTATTATAGTCTCAGCATAAAAGGCAAGATTTAGTATTTAAGTTAAGTATCTTTTAATATCAATTCTGAATTTCGTTGATTACTTCTAAATGACGAAAAGAAAAAGCTGTAGTTAACCTCATACCTCTTTTTTATACGAATAGATAGGCAGAGGTGCAGGAACATTTTGGTAAGTGTTTGAAAAGAATCGATGTTATCATAATCAACAACCTTTAATAGTATACTGCTGGACATAGGATTCTCCTGAGAAAGGAGGTTTTGGCCTACTATACCACTTATATAGGCGGGTTCTTAGAGGGGTTGTGTCAATTTTTTTCTGTTTGCAGTGCTGTTGTCCTACGTAGTTTGCTCCCTCAGTCGGCTCTTACGACACCCACAGGATGAATAGAGGTGGTGACACTCCGTAATCTTAATCCGTCACCCCACGGACAGAATCGAACCGATGTGATGTGATAAAAAGATAGATGATTCCTTTTATTATTAAATATCTTTACCCTTGCATATATTTTATAAAGCTATTAATAAAATTTAATTTTAATATAAATTAATTTAGTACCTAAAAAATTGCTTTTGCAATCGTGATTACTAAATATGCCATTTTTTTTGTCAAAAGACAACTCCCGCATTAGGAATTTATCCTGTGTCGCGGGGGACTTTACAAACATACATAAAACGGACACAAAGAACACCCAGACTCAGAGAAACAATTTGATCACACAAAGTGTAGTAGTAAGCGGCGAGGTGACCGCTTAAACCACTACGTCATCCGTTTCTAAACATAGACACATTTTTTAATTGTGTTACTAAGTAGGTTCCTACTTATTCATAAAATCATTAATAATTGTCTTTTTTTTTTGGTTAAAAAATACCGCACACTTGTTCTTAGCGTTGCTTCACTAGGCGCGTCTAACCGTCGCGGTGTCGTCGTCATCGGGTCAACAGTTTTCTCTACAGAAATAGTGTCGTAGCCGATAGCCGATACAGGAATATATTTAGTGCGTCTATAAAAATACCGATTTACATATTTCTCTGGAAGAATAATATTCGGGATAACTTATGCGTATTACTTTGGCATTTGCAAAGGGTCTATTTTTTTAAATGTAAATTTCGTTATCGTACTATAAAGGTCAATGTGTTTTTTCTATAAACCACCGACAGTGAATAATGCGGTTGTGAAATAAATTTAATTTATATACGTAAATTGTATTAATGTATTATTAAAGATGCTATCGTGGTAGAGGCATGCTTTGGTAGAAATGGACTGGCGTCAATAGAGTGATACTACGGCCTCAACGAATGTTAAACTATCTTTTCCTTTCGCTACTTTGAACCAAGTGAGTGAGCGTACCGGAGGCCAAACCCTTCCTACCCCTATCTCTGGGTCGAGGGGTTCTTCTCTTGAGTTGTAGGTGTCGGACGGAGGTAATTACTTACCACCAGGTACCCCTATACCATGAAAAAAAAAAATATTCTTACTTCATAAATATAAATAACGCATGTGCGGTATTAGTGCAACCATAATGTCTATTTAAGGAAGGTTCACACACCGGCATGAAACATCCGTTCCAATCTATGTTGTGAATACGAAATCAATTAGTAAGCTCGCCGAATATCTTTCTTATTGACCAGCTAAAGCTGTGTACACATCTGCAGAAAAAAAACAAAACTCACAGATAAACAGCTCAACAAGTAGAAGTTATTAAGTTTCCTAACAACTTTGGTTTAGTCATTAGAAAAGTTTTGAGGCAAAGTTAGATTGGACGTGATTGATATACTAAAATATAAAACGTTTATACAAGTCTACAACGTAATTTAAAAAGGAAATGAGGAGATTATTGCCTTTTTTGTGTGTATGTTACGCTTATATCTTCTGCATTTGTGAAGCGCGTACGCCGATTTTTTCTTTTATTGCATCGCTTGTACTCCGTTGTACTCATATTTACATAGTATTAAATAAAGTCGATGTTTATTGTTGTATATTTTAATGTTGTAGTAGTGTTGATTTTAATGCAGTTTTCACCAATAGAGTGATTCAAGAGGAAGGTTTATATGTATAATATATGCATATTATAGTAGAGAAAATCCGAGGATTTCAAAGATTTGTCTTAAGGAACATGGTATTGAGCACTTACATTGTAAATGCTGGTTAATCCTTACAAGATAGTCCAAAATAATGTACTACGGAATTGTATAGTTTAAAAAGATCTACAAAAAAGACCGCGATGGTATTTGTCCATCTCCTAAGGATAAACTACAGTAACCATTTTTATCTTTTAAATGTTACAAAGAAATAATGGGTTATTTAAAAAAGCTATTTTAAACAATACATTATTATTCCTTATTCAATTAAATACGTTAGATACATTGTACATTTATGTAGCTTAAAATTGCTCTGTATCATTAAAGTCAAAGCGGCTATCGCCCCATCGGCGGCAACATCGGAGTGAGCCTATAAATATTGCATATAAAGGTGTCCTGTAGTATACTCCTATAACAATATTGGTATAATTAATAACTCCATACTGACACCACATTAACAATATCTACATTGCACTCGGATCGCTAGTGGTTGAATTAATTTAAATTTGAACTAGATGTTCTATTTCAAAGAGTTGAAAATCAAGTGAAGAAGGACACAGATTTTTACAATTTATTATGGTTTTAGTGCATTGAAGTGGGTGATAGTTTATTTTTTAGTGGACAAATGTACCTACTGCTTTTTTTTTAATTTTAACCTAGTCTAGTACTACTAGTTTTTTAAAAGAAAATGAATATTAGCAATTTCACAGAGCTTCGTAATACATATCACGTAAAACATTTTGTAGTTACCATCAACTACGATGAGAACTTCTTACGTGATTAGATTGGCAACGTACCTGCCACATTTTCTGTTGATCGTAACTCAACTAGCTTTAGTTCATTATTAACTATCTTCACCTTCATGAATACACCAAATACGTTAAGCGAATTTAAAATTATATCTACTACATACTAGAATCTCCAGTCTATATTTATATAAACACAAATAATATTAGTGTCTGCGATTGTTTTTTTTTAGATTACAATATTTTTTTACGAGTCATGAAGTCTAAAACAATAGTTTGTTAATTTTGCCTGTTCTTTTTTTTAATAAAACTGCATAGATGTATAGTAAAACCGTCAACAGATAAATTGACTTAATAAGCAAAAATTAGTTTCAGTCTACCATGACAATTAAGAGTCAAGTATACACGGTATTCTACGGTAGTGCGATGTCGAACATCCCGATGATCGACATCGTACTAGTGAGTTCCCGACCCTCATACCTAAAATTGGCGTAACGTAACTTGCACCTTGCACCTACCGACTATTACTTTTTTCCAAAATTTAGACAACTTTTTAGTGGGTAAAAAATTCAATTCCCGAGAGGCAGTACAAAATGCCTTTGAAGAGTTTGTTGCCTCCCGTCCAGCTGATTTTTACAAGAAGGGCATCAATAAACTGCCAATGCGTTGGCAAAGATGCGTCGATTGCATGGGTGATTACTTCGAATAACAGAAATAAAAAAGTTTGAAAAAAAAGTACTTTCACTTATTGCATACAAAACGGCAATTTCATAGGTAAAGACCTAATATATTTGATTGATATTTTGCTCTTCAAGTTATTAAAGATAGATGTTATTGCAGGTATAACCGGCCATGTTCGAATCGATGCCGTTGGCGACAGGGACGCCGATTACGCTATTTTAGATCTCGATCCAGTTACAGGCAAGTTCGAGGTAAGTTCCCTGGTTTAAAAGAAAACATTTACCTGGCCTTCTTTTTTACAGTTTCATCCATCTTTATGATCATTTTTAATAATAAATGATTAATAAAATTATAATTTTAAGCAGACTATTATTTTCTTTAAGAATCGGGCTATCAAACGCAAAATGTTTTTTTTAAATCCTTCCACGCATTCGACCTTCAAACACACGCTTTATTGTGTTAGTATTGGCTGTGTAGTCAAACACTCAGATTGTGTATTGTACACAATCTGAGTGCCGTGCCACAAATAGCGCTGCGAGCTCTCGAGTAGTTCCACGCCAAGTCTCTACACGTATGACGATAGACGACCATAACAAATAACCATAATGAATATCTTAATACCCTTAATAATGAATGAACATAATTCATAACACGAAAAGTTCCATTTGGTTAAATAGCAGTTGATTAGAAATTACGAAGAATAAAATGCTAACTAAATCAAGTTTCTTGTGTGTATTCAAGTTTATTATATAATGAGCTTAGCACAATTGTAAACAAAGAAAACACTTTGTTTGTAATAGACATAAGTCGGTGTCATGGTATCCTAAGACCCCTTGTAACTGTATGTGTTATTTACTGTTGAATAATTTATAAAAATGCTGACTACTCTTATTTTCATTCATTTAATATGCTGATCCCTTTACATTTAAATTGAATCAGTCATCATCAGCAGCCTTTACTAGTCCACTGCTGGACATAGGCCACTCCCTATTGAATTAGTAATATTAACTTTTGAGTGTCTTCATATTTTATTACCTGAACTTTAAAAGTTTTTATTATGTATCTTGTATTAACAAACGCTTGTACAATTTGAAGACTGTTAATTATTTCTTATTTTTATTAAAACTGAAATACCAATTAGAAATTAATTTTCTTTCTATTATTCGCGTAAACACACGGAGCACATTATAACTATTTTAAACTCGTAGAGAACCGAGATAACAAATACAAAATTATGAGCTCTCTTAAGTATAAAAGCCCACGTTCAATCACCGCCCCTATTTGTTTAATTAAAGCCTTGTTTGAAAATAACATTTAATACTCAGATCGTTATCTACAAGAAATATAATCATGGTTTTGTTTGAATTATCAATTTATCGACATCTTATTGAAGCCAACAAAGCTTTAATTAAGTTTTTCTCATTGCTAACAATTATGGGAATAAGGTTTTGAATTAGATGAAATTTGATATTATTAATTAATACTAACGGCAATGAAAAGGTGTATTACATAAACTTATGTAAGACTCAAACACAACGCTTATAGTTTCATAGTTTAAGTGTTAGAACCATTTTCTTGAATTGACACAATTATCGAGAATGACATAACTATTGTCACTGAGGCGTATATTACATTTTTTAACAGTCCATTTTCATTTTTAGACTCTCTCATGCATTGTTTTGCGTTTGGAGTTTGACGATAGTCCTGTAATAAACTTAATGCTAAATCGTCAAACAGTAATTAGGTAAGCATCATCATTATCATCATCATCAGTCTTACTGCACTGCTGGACATGGGTTTCTTCCTAGAAAGGAGGTTTTGGCCTCTTGTACCACGGGTTGGTATAGGGTTCATTTCAAGTTTTCCTTCAAGTGTATTTGTGTAGTTATCGCTGCTAAAAGTTTATCGATTAACGTACTTAAGAATGAGGTAGTTGCTGATTCTTTATAAATCGTTGTAAACATTTCAGGTTTTTCTTTGAGCATAGAAGTTTACGATAAAGAATTTATAGCCATACTTTATTTGTGTGTTGTTTTCTTAACATTAACCTCAGACAAAGCCACTTCAAGTTGTGAAAGTCTTGAACTGATTAAAATACATGAGACATTCCGTAAAATAACTTTGAAACTTCCTCATTATATATATAATTAGATACTTCTACGAGACTTAACGCTAAATTAATAATATTTAGGTATGTATATACATTTGACCTAGTGCTGAGGTTATTGTGAGGTAGAAGTTTCCTCAGCCGCCCACACATTCATGAATGTGAAAACTCTGATGAATAGCTTGAAAAACATCATTAATTATGTTTTTAACGCTATCTTTCTTGGTATTTTTCGACTGTGTAAAAAATCATGGCTGCATATCTTTTAATCCAGCTTCACAAAAAACCGGTAGAAAGCACTATTTCCGTTGCATTTCAAAAGAGTGAGTAAAGTTACGGGGGTCTAACCAATCCCTTTTCCTTTTATTCTGACGAGATCACTCTAAGACCCGCAACACCCTTATAACTCTTGTTGCAGGTGTTCAAGGGTAACGCCAGTCACATCCCGTCTGGTGACCCGTCTGCTCGTTTGGCCCCTGAACCATAACAAGATAACTATAAGGTTCTAAACTGTTATGTATCGTTTAGGTGGTGGCCTTTTATCACGGTCTAAACAGCAGTTATAAGCCGGTAGCTGGGAAGGCAATCCACTGGCCAGGAGGACGCCGAGGCCCGCCGCTTGATACCCCAAGATGCGGATTTTTAGGCAATGATCCAATGTGTCAGGGAGGTTAGTATTTCATTAATACCTTAAATTCCACCATTTTATTTATGTGACGCATATAAAAACATCTACATTGAGCAGTTTGTAGTGATTTTCATCTAACGCCTTTTTGTAGTCACGTCTAGGATGGAACACGTCACGTCACGTCTAGGGTGGGTTTTTTTAAGTTGATTGTAATGTAATAATTAATTTAAATGAAAAAAACACTGGGGGTGCCGGCAGAAGTGAAAACTTGAATGTTAACGTTGTGCATTTTTGATATTTTAGAATGGTTAGGGAATATTTTGCACGAATTGCTTTAATTATCAGTATAAAAGTACCATCATTTATGTGGTAGAATACAATATTTATTTATTGCGCTATCGTACACAAACATGACAATTTATATTACATTAAAAAGTTTATCTCTTAGAAAAACGAACATTCGCGCAAGCGCCCTGCTCCGCCTAAACGAAACAGCAGGCGCAGGCATACATTTTCGCCGCTCCGTATAAAGAGAGGGGGATACTTCCTCTCCTACGCCGCGCCGGCTGTCTACTCTCCATCCGTCTTACGAATTTTCGATCAGGGTCACGTGTCCTGACGCGAGTTTAACATTTTTTACCCATTACAAAAAAGTGTACAACGCCGCTAAAGAAGTTTTCACTTCAATAAAGTTATCATTAATGTCAATTCTCGTAATGGAAATTCATTTGAAATTCAGTTAATTTCCACTCTCGATCTCACAATTGTCATAAATGTATTAAACGTTGACTGTAACGTAATTTTATTCTATTGTGACAGAAAGTTGAATCAGTATTTTGCAAAACTTACTTACTCTCACTGCTTTATTACGAGAATACCTTTGGTGACATTTGTGAGATCGAAAGTAGATCGAAACTGAATTTTAAACAAATGTTTATGACGAGAATTGACCTTCAGGGTATGTACGTTTTGATCAAACAGAATACCGTAGTACTCCGTAGCGGCTCTACGTCGTAAACATTCCGGCTACGCGTCAATTAAGTTTATTAATATTGTACAGTAACACTTGTCTAACAACAATTTTGCGGCACCTGGTTCTAGGCCTGTGGATAATAACAGAATAATACCAATTACAGGAAGTTTCTTAAATATTCATGTACTTTGTTTATTGCATACATAAAGCAGATTATTTTAACAGAAATCATTTTCTCTAAATTTTACTTTAATATTTTATATCATAGTCTCCGCCCATATTAAGTTGATTAGACAACAAAAATATGTCATAGTTAACTGTAATGTAGTAAAAAATAATTAAATGACATTAAAATATTTGCATTAAGTATTTTATTTACATACACGTACATAACAAATTACCGTAAAAGAAGGATTGTATGTCTTTGAAATACCTATGATATAAATATACAAGGCAAATGTTTTGTCATTAATTCATCCTTATTTGTATGACGTCATAGTAATTTGGAAAAAATACCTACGCCTCTTGAAAAATTAAGAAGTTTAGTATAACATAGCCGATTTGGACAATGAGACAAAAACAGTAATGACAGTGTAGCCTTGACCTACTCAAGCTGTTGTCTACACTATAAAAACCCTCCGTACAAGAAATACAGCCTTTCATCGACTTTTATACTTACTTACTTTCTAATACACGCACTTAAAATAATTCTATTATAAATTAACCACATTATAATTGTTCAATACGTCTCGAGGTTCATACGTGATCTAGGTATGTGTGAATATGTATATATATATATATATATATATATATATGTCACAATTATCTTAGTTACCATAGCCATATTTGTTGCACGCTGCTGGATCAGAAGCTCAGACAGTCATAATCTATTGTTTCATCGGATTGGCAATATTTTTAATATTTGCTGTAACAGCTGCATGTATTGCCTACAAGTAAGTTAATCTACTTTTAGAAACATCAATAACTTTTAGTTATTAGTAAGCATAAGTCATTATTGACTGATTAAATTAACTGCCTCGGTGGTCAGTGGTATCTGGATCTGATCTGCAAATATTTGTTTCGGAATTTGGGTGTTTCCTATGTATAATATGTATGTATTTAGAATAAAGTATACAAGTATTCTATCAGTCTATCTAGCTTTCATACCAGAAGCTCTACTTAGTTCGAAACTAGATAGCGTTGTGTGTCATATGTTAGAAAATATTATTTTTAATCTCTTTACTTAATTTAATACATATTTATGATTAATAAAAATAAAAAATATAGAAAACAGTTTTCCATTGGTATCGGGTACATTAACCCCATACCGGTGGTTGGGACTCTAGAGACAGAAACCTCCTCACTATACGAGCGGTATCGAGAAGAACTGCTTTCTGCATAAGGTCCTTAATCCAGCTGCCTAACGCGACCCTCTGAAGATGTTAGTCGAGGCTCTTAGCAATTAATCCATGAGCTGATATGACTATCATAATTATTATTCGCGTATTTTTCTGTCATCTGACAAATGTTCTGTTCATCACTTTGCCGGGGCGAACGGTAAAGTTGTTTGTATTTAAAAGGTCTCAAGCCGTTTAAAATATTACACTCGTTCGGCAGACCTGGCTGGTTCAAAACTTATCACTCCGATTAATATTTATTTAAATAAAGATTATAATTTAAACACGTCACTATGAAATATTATTAGACAACAAATTATCATCAACAAAGGAATGAGACGGCCTTGTGTGAGATGTCTCGAGTTATTTATTTATTGAGGTCAAACTAAGATTGTACATGGATAAAACAGGCAAGCGCGTATGGACGCCGAGCTGAACAACACATCGTGGCGTGTTCGACCTGAAGAAGTGCTGGTGGAAGTAGGGACCGGGTTAGGTGCCAGCCCAGCGCTTCACAGCATCAATGAAGTGTACAAAGTACGTATTACTATTTATTGCTAAGAATTCAAATGGTTGTATGAAAAGAATGATGAATTAGTAAGAGATTTAAGCTGCATGTCAGGATTGTCTATGCCTGCCACGTATGGCAAAATGCCGTAATAATGCTAGCATACTAATAACAACAGAAAAAAAAACAAAACAGAAAATGCCTGTGGTATTAATTGTGGTGTTGTGCAATTTCATTCGTGCATAAAATATCAAATGAATAAATTCTCCGTACGCTGCCAACGATCGTTTCTTTATCAAATTAATATTAAAATAAATTAAAAAGACAAAGAAAATTTCTGTACAAGTCTGTTTTTATAAAGGTTAAATCGTTATAAATTTTAACGAAAACGTCTAATTAAGTTGAAGTAAGTACCGTGTTGAATTTAAGTATTTATCAATTTGAATAATCTGCTCTCAAAGGCATGGCATATCTAATTAGCGATAACTATTAAACCATTTTACCCATTTCAAAGTTCGTGACTTTTTAAAGGTTAACCTTGAAATAATGATAACAAGGTCAAAATTACATTCACTATCTTTAATGAAGAACATAAAATGTAAATTGGTAAACTCAACGCTACGAATATTAACAGATTTTGCATGCTTTTGATATAATTTACATATCTAATTGTGACATTAGGGGTATTCAAATACCTTAAAATGTGTTTTAAGGTATTTGAATAACCCTAATGTTTAAGATTTGACACGAACCGCATAAAAATACAAATATACAAAATATAAATTCTCTCAATATGGTGGTATATTTGTATGCCCTTGCATTCATACTAAGAACATTTGGAAATTAGATTCAACGCTCTGGAAAAAGCCTAGGCTGTCGTTCTAAAATAAAATACTAAAAGTTATCCTTGGTTATCTTTATAAAATGTAAAGATTGTTTAAAAACAATTACACAATGTTCTGGTTGACTGTAATTACGTTATGAATAATCGTCACTATGCGTTGTAGTCTTATACCATGACAACTATAACGGGAATTTCGCCATGTGGTCTTTCTGTAATTATTAAAACGCGTCGTGAGCATTTTCATAGAAAACAATAATCGTGATATGGTATTTCTGTGATACGAGTAGCTACAAAGCGTTGTCAGCTGTTTTTGCTCATGAGCGTTTTAATAAAGTTTATAAACCATCGCTTAGATTACTATAAAGTTGAAAAGACGGAAAAAACATAACTCACATGAAACAATATTTCTCCGATCCATCATGTACAAACCAAAAAATGTTATGTTGTTTTACAACATTTATTTAAAATACACATTTACTGAAATGATGTACGTATTAAAATCATTGAGTAGAAAATATAAATAATGAACATCGGAATGACTAATTTAAATAATAGCTTCATCAAAATATACTTCATATATATTATTACCTACCTACCCGTAAATTGTATGTAGGTGTGCGCTGTGGACTGACACACTGCTGTCATTTCAATATCTGTTAGATGATAATGATAATAAAATCATAAAGAAGTAGAAATATAATTATGACATTATCAGAATTATTTTTAATTGCCTTGAAAATATACTATCATTAGCTCTCCTTGGGGTGGAGTACCCGTGGCAGTACAGGAGCTGCCTCAAACATGGGCACACCCTCCTTGACACTGTCATCATTTACCGTCGGTCAGTACAAGGGTAACCGCGTCGCTGTCAAGAAGATACATAGGAAAAAACTCGACTTGAACAAGAAACTACTCTGGGAAATCAAGCAGGTAAAAAAAAACTATAGGAGGAAGAATAAAGGCAATAAAAAAGTAGAGTTAACTTTCAAACTATAAAAGCATTCCATAATATGGCTTCTCAGCTTTTGCCGGCTAAATTTGATCTTACTTACCTGTTGGGTTTTAGCCTGTTGATCAGGCACTTTGGCTATTTTTGGGATGGGCTAATTACTGCTTTATAATTAAGATGGTAAAATTGCAAGTATGTTGAAAGCGGGTATATTACGGTTTATTGTGAAGGGGGGGGGGGGGGCAGAGGCATATTGCTTATATCGATAGATTCATTAGTGTAAGCAGGTTACAGTCAGGTGTACCCCTGTAACTTGAGCTGGCCTTTGTCTGAAAATACAATACGTCTATTTTATTCTACTATTCTATTTATATCGATAACCTATCATATTTTAGTGAAGTGAAGACAAACAAGTTTCTAATCAAAGACTTCATGTGATCGTTAGTTTTCAAAATAACATTATCTTTGAAATGTTAATTTCGGAGGCTCGAAAGGGTTATATGAAGAACATCGGCAGAATTCATTATTAAGGACTCATCAAAAACTATTCAGTGTTATACGATAAACAATAAAGATACACAATTATCGTTGCTTTGTATTTTTTGAATATATGTATCCACTACAACTATATGTATCCGTGGTCTGATGTAAAAGGCGTTTTCCGAGCAGGAATGGTCAGCGTACCACCGCTACTATAGAAATTCATCTTAATAGTAACAATATTATTATCATGGCGACCACATGGCGTAGTGGTTTGTATAACAGACTGCTATTCCAAAGGTCGCAGGTTCAATTCCCGCTCAAGTCAAACATTTGTGTGCATAAACATTTAAAGTTTGGTTTGGTCTGGGTGTGTCTATAATGGAAAAAAAAAATTACAATAACATTAACATTTTTGAAGTCCACTGTTCCAAGTTCCAAGTCTTGGGCAGTCCGCATCCATCTTCCGTCAGCCACTTTCTTCAAGTGGTCAGTCCATCGTGTCGCCATTGAATAATATATTAACTAAGTCGTTCTAACACTGTCCTTGTCATTTCTTACCAGGCTCGTAACGTATCCCACGAGAATACAGCGCGATTCATTGGTGCTTGCGTTGACTGTCCGTTAGTGTTCGTACTGACGGAGTATTGTCCAAAGGGCTCCCTAAAAGACGTGCTCGCCAATGACGAGCTACAACTGGACTGGAACTTCAGGACATCACTAGTGCACGATATCGTACAGGTAGGTACCAAAACCTTCATCATTTTCCAATTCCACAATTAAATACAAGATAAATTTAAATTAAAACTTATTTATTAAAAAACTTTATTCGGCAAAATTTTCCTTCCTAACTAAACTAAATATTGCTCTGAGTGGTATTCGATTATGAAATGCACTGTCAATTTTCTGTCAAGTGATGTCTTGGATTTTTCAATAAATTATAATTTTGCTACATAGTTCAAGTCATTTCAAATAATATCTTACCTAATAATAATACATATAACAAGTAATAATCATTTAAAATAGAATACTATATAACAAAAAATGAAATAAACGCAATATATTTTCAAATAATAAGGAAACCACTTATCAATTTTAATATTTTTTTTTATTTTTTTTAAGATATTACATTTTATTAACAAAATAATATAATTATACTTACAGAAATGACATCGTGAATTAATTTTACATTTAAATTATAATCGATTGAATAGGAGCGTAAAATACATACATTTAAGTTACAATTTTTTTTTTTTTTTTTTTAAGTCAGATCATATAACCCGCCCCGCGTCGCTCCCGGTGCAAAGGTGCCCATGATACTGGCAGCATTGCCTCGCTGAATTGCAACGGACATTCTTTGCACCAGAAACGAGCCGGAGCGGGAGTCACCACTTTTTTCCCTAACTCGGCGACCAATCTCCGCAATTAACTTTTTAGCTTCTGACCCCCAACTGCCCAAAGTCTCCACCGCAATAGGCACAAAATAATAGTGCGTCTCCATTGCGGCGTATTTTGATCGCTTCCTACTAGCGGCATCCTCCGCCGCCGCCGCCGGGGCTTGGACGGTGCGACTCAGATGAGAGGCCGCGACTGTGCTAACGCATGTGGCGTCCCATACCAAGCACTTGCCGTTTTTCCACGGCATCAAAGTCAAGCCATCCGGCCGCTTCCCGTCAGATCTGCTAAGACCCGATGGCTCCAGCACGCAGGGTACATTGGCGGATATAAGAGCCCTTCGGACTATGTCATTTAGGGCATGGTGTCGCGAAAATCTACCCGCGCAGCGACGACAACTCAGTGCATGAAGACCATCGGCCCCCACCATGGAACCGCAGGTGCATCTATGTGGTTCGCACACCCTGCAGCCCAGGCGGAGAGCCACTGCCACACGCAAAGAGTCGCCGTCTAGCAAGGTACCCAAGTGAGGCGATGGGAGTGCATGTAACCATGCCCCTGACTCTGGCTGCGATACGGCCCTCAGTCTTGCCTGAAATAAATAAATAATAAAACATGATGGTTTGCGTGGCTCCCATATCGGGGGTCAATCCTACTGAAATTGGGTAACATTTACAAATAATACCTTGAATTGTTAAAATAAAGTAGCCATGGTAAAAGTTAAAAAATACTTACGTAAATTGGGTCGAAAATCTCACGTTTTTTACTACGTTGCTTTTGAATTAAACAGAGAATTGTCCCTGTTTATGACATCTCAAGTATAATTTTACAGTTGAATTGGCTGTTAATAAAAAAACTGAACAATTACGGTTAAAGTACAGTAAACGTTAAATTGTCAGAATATGGCTTTTGACTCGGATTACAATAGTATAATTGCCGAAGTATGGATCCTCTATTTTTTGAAATTATTTGATAAACGACCTGAATATAATTGTGGGAATAAATATTTCGTACTCTGTTACCTATTTTCACAATTGACGACCGATGATTAAAGTCGGTAATACTTTCTAAAAGTTAATTATGATATCCGGTGGGTTGCCGTTCTACTGCACCTACAGTTAGAATTTTATATTTCAATTTAAAGTTATACTGCTGTTCATTTACATGTTCAAATACACAATAGCTACGGCAAACAAAATTACATTTTCAGAATACTGGCTAACGAACCTGTAGCCTACGTAAAAAGTTAGGTACCATATTACGGCGTAAAATAAATGTTAATCGTAAAACTTTTCAGTTACGATTTAGTGTTGAAATAAATAAAGAAGATTTAATAAAACTGCTCCATCTGCTCTTCGATTTGTTGAAGAGTTAGTAATAGCTTCGGGGACTACTATCGTGCTAATTTGCTCAATGTTAAATTGCGTATTCATTGAATAGTGTTGTTGTTGGTAGAACTCTTTGGGGTTGTAACATCAGCGAATAATTTAAACGTTTGAATTACTTTATTTTAGGCTATATGTGTAGAAATATAAACTTGAAAATTATTTAAATAAATTTTTGTTGTAGTGTTCTTTAAGTAAATGCGTGTACCTATATAACGCGATATTTGTGTGCCTATGTCAATTCTTTTCATTAAATTGATTCTATTTAAATACTTTTTGTGAATTTGTATTATATACATATTATACACTAGCTTACCCGCGCAACTTCGTCTGCGTCTCTCAATAGTAATAAATTTTCTCCGTTTTTGAAACATTCTTCATTGGTGCTCCGCTCCTATTGCTCTTAGCGTGATGATATATAGCCTATAGCCTTCCTCGATAAATGGGCTATCTAACACTGAAAGAATTTTTCAAATCGGACCTGTAGTTCCTGAGATTAGCGCGTTCAAACAAACAAACAAACAAACTCTTCAGCTTTATAATATTAGTATAGATAGAAAACTCCAAAACAAATATTTGCAGATCATATAAACATATGGTCCGACCCAGAAATCGAATACAAGATTACCACCGGGGCACATTTACTTTAATATCTTAGTTGAATTGTCTTCCCGAACCAAACAGAAGTTTTTTTTTTACCATTGGCCTTAATAAAACAGGTGGACAAAGTGGAAGTCTATGATACTTTTATATACATTTCATTTCTTTTTCAATGTTTTTTCTTTTCTTTTGTTTTTGTGTACAATAGAGATTATTCATTATTACAGAAAGTCAAATGAGGCTACCAATACCTTTAAAAACACGCAATACCTACCTAATAAGTTATATACGTCGCCAATCAAGCATTGTAGAAGATATTGATCACCTCTTCTATCTTCTTAAAGTTCTTGCTCTCTCAGAGTTCACTGATTTAAGTGAATAAAGTGAATATGATCTGATCAACAATTAAATATTTATATTTTACATGCAGCAGCTCACAGCTTTATTTGCTTATGCAAATATTTATAACCTCATTTTTCCTTTGCAGTAATATTATTCCACTGTACAAAGGGATTGAAAATACATTCTTGAAATTATTTACATTTCATTTAAGTTGGAAATAGAACGCCTTGCACTGTTACTGTACGATCCTAGTTCTTATTAGAGCAAAAAGTTTTTTTTACGTATTACAGAAGCTAGGTATTTCTCTATTCAATTCCAACCTGTGCCTAAAATCGATTTTTGTAATACAGGGAGGAATTTTAAAACCTCTGGCATTTGTTGAAAAGAAAATCCAAATATATGATTATATATTTATTGCGATCACGTAATAGGCATTACATGGAATTGGATTGCCTTGGAATTTCTTGAGGTTTTGACGAGTGTGCATTGGCCGCGGTCCGGGGCTGACTGTCGTGTTAATTCTTCAATTTACCGCATTTTTTTTTATTCAACTGTTGTTATAATTTTTTTAAATAAATGGAGTCTTAATATATATTTTAGCTAGAACTCTACAAAACGTTATTGATAATCCAAAAGCGTGACTTCAAAAATTTTTCGATAGTCTTGTACCAATTCAGAGATAAATTTTCGTAATTGGTATTGCCCGATTAACACCTTGAAAAAGGTTCCTCGTAGGGTCCGAACGTTCGAGACTAGTCGTTGTCCCATTCCACGAATATGCCCTAAATCAGTCCCTATTGTTGAGTAGATTGGATGTATTTAAACGTTTGCTGCCCCAAGTATGTACGTGAGCAGAAAGTACAGAAATGTGCTCTATAGTGGTGAATTAGTTTCAAGGTCTATAGAATGTCAAAAAGCTAAATTATTTACGGAGGCTGCGTGCACATTTCGGCCTAATGAAAACCAAAGTCAGACCAAAAATGTTTTAAAAGTATGTAAAGTACAGAAATGAATGTCTAAACCTGGCTTTATGGGTTGTCATTTCAAATTCTGTCTTGTGCATAACTGACCGCTGTGTTACGTCCTTAAAGTTTGAATTGATATAGCTTTCGTTTTTAATTTCATATTTTCTTAATAATAATAAAAAATAATATTAATGCATCATCTTACCGCACCAGTGAAGATTGCAATAGTGATTCGGTTTAATACACAACGCAGAAGTTGGATTTGTATCGGACACCGATTCGTAGTTACTGGTATCCATTATTGGCATTTTAAACATTATAATTGCCAGCCATTAAAAATCTCTGCCAAAGCGCTGCAAGATATTAAATAAATAGCCATATATTTCAATACAAACACCAACTTTTTATACAGATGGACGAAGAGAGTACAACAACGTTTTAGGTTTATTAAAATAGACCCCGTGTACCAAAAACAAGGCTGTTTATTTCGGTTACATATTGTGTTATAGAAGCAATCACAAACCTAATCATGTTATCTTAGCATTTACTCAATTTAAGTCGTTGTTTAGGGCATGTGCTATCTCCATGGAGGCCTGGGCGCCCACGGCAAACTTCGTTCCTCCAACTGTCTTATCGATGGACGCTTCGTTCTCAAGATCTCCGACTACGGACTTAACACACTATGCACGCCCACCGATTTGATAAAGGACGACACTTATTACTACAGTAATGTATAAAAGTATTTATTTAGACACTTAATGTGGTAACTTTTTGTTCTACTGATAGAAATAACAAAAGGAATAACAATAATGAATAGAAGATAAACATACAGAAATATCGAATCAACAGATACATAGCACACCGAAATTTAGAACATAGTAATTCTAACTTTTCCTAATTTTATTTCGGGTCGGTACACTGTGTAAAGGTTTGAACTGCAAAGAGTTTTGACTGATTTATTTTATGGCCGTCTACTGTTGGATGCCTACCAAATGTAACCCTCTTTAGACGGGACGGAGGAAGAAAAAAATTGGGAAAAAGAATACAGGTAGGACTTAGACTGCAGTAGGTCGAATTTTATACACGTGATCTCTTAGTTAGACTACTTAGAAGTCTATGCTAAAAAGAACAAACCTGAACACATAAAATTTAGTATAAATACAAAAATCTTTAATATTAGAGCTATTTATTATTGCTTATGTCACCTCACATCTTAGAGATATCTTATATAAATATTTGGAATGTAATAAAGTTCCAAGCACGTTCCTCCAATTTGATATAACTCGGAGATGTTGTCTCCGCTAACGTATAAACAATGCACAACCGCTAGCTGCCTTAACTACTTTCTTGTGCTCATTTTATATTACCTATAACAAATCAATCTATAACAAACATGAATGTGTGCGTTTCAATGCATACATATAGATATATGTATTTAACATCCTATTAAACTCTATACAACACCTAATACGCTAAATATTCGTTTGATTTTGATAAATTAGATAGTCATTGATCTAGATGATGGTTCATTGATAGATGATGGTTCATTCGTTGATTCATTGTGAGATCAAACATAATATATGCATAAAAATAATTGTTCCCAGTCTGAATACTTAAAAGATATTTTATGTTTATAAATCGTGGTGATATATGAATATTTATAGTACATCTTACTTTACACATTTAAAAAAATAAAAATATCCAAGACAGAGATACATTGTTCTCCGTTATATTTTGTGTAGAACTACTATGGACAGCACCAGAGTTAGTAGCAGGCAGCATCTACCCTGGCGCAGCAGCGTCCCTGAAAGGCGACGTGTATAGTTTTGGCATCATACTCGAGGAGATAGTTCTAAGAGCTGGACCTTTCCATCATTATACGAACACTATGTCTAATAAAGGTAAGTCACACACAGAAACAACATTAAACTAACAGGTAGCTTCTCCTCTCTTACCTTTTGTATACTTGATAGGTCCGGCCTGATGGCAGAAATCGAGACCCTTATTTTTAGTTCATAAATCCCCTCGGATACCCCTTCCGGCGACGGGTGGGGTTATGTCGGACTCGAACCGACTAAAGAACGCACACCGTCTCCTCCACCCGTAGCCGGGGACCAAGTGTAACCTAGAAAGGAAATCAATGGTACCCTGACGGACACCGGGCCATCTAGTAGCTTACAGACGGCCCCCTCGTGTGAGAGGACCACGGTATCCCCTTCCTTCTATAGGAAACGCGCGCTCCGGAGTGCGTCTATCGGCCTGCTACTGCTAGGGTGACAGATGGCCTCACCTATTATCGGATGAAGGTCGTTCAGCGAACGATGGTGCCTGAGCCGACCGACGTACCTTTCCCGTTCCCGGGCCTGGGGAACCGACACCCTGACGATAAGTTATTGTTTACTATTTTCTGGTTCTTACTGTTGTTTACTGGTTCGTCACAACAACCGGTCCTGTGCTGCCCACTTCCAACGGCTTCCTGCGACCTTCACCAGGTCGTCGTACCACCTTGTGAGGGCCTACCCACGTTCCGTTTTACTTGCGAACTTTATGGCCCCATCGGCTATCGGTTCTGCGAGTAATGTTAAGTTATTTAATTCATTAATAATATTTAACTAATCGGTGGGTGATTGGTTATGAAATTTTGCGTTTTCGAATTAACTTTGCTGTTATTTTAGTTTAAGGTCTATTTTGTTGTTGTTATAAACCAGGAGCAGGTAAACTTTTGATTAAGTTTCATCCATAAATCCATATATTTTGCAAAACCGTTAATAAGTAAGGTACTTAAAACTCGATAGACTCGACGGAACTAAAAGTTTGACAGTTATGATTTAATCTGCGCTCAGTTTTCACAATTAGTTGCCAAGTTATTCTAACTTTTGAAAAGATAAATTATCTCTGTCTAAAATGATTAAAGTATGCCCTTATTGTGCTAAAAACATAAATAAGTCTTAATATTAAATGTTGTAAATATTTTAATTGCATTATAATATATTTCTTTTCATCAACAGCCTAAACAGTCCACTGCTCGACATAGGTCTCTCCTTAGAAAGGAGGCTTTGGCCAACTATACCACGCTGGCCAGACAGAGCAATGTGGTGTGGTGACGGATTAGGAATACGGAGTGTCATCCCGTGGGTGACGACTTTACACAAACTCTATACCAAGGTTTGTGTCAAGTTTTCCTTCTCTGTGCAGTTCTGTTGTCCTGCGTAGTTTGCTCTCTTAGTCGGCTCTTACGACACCCACGGGGTGACACTCCGTGTTCTTAATCCGTCACCACACGGCAAGTAACTACATTGCTCCGATATTATTGCCTGCAAATCGGAGCGCTTCGATTACATATTGAGCATAATTCAGATTTAAAAACGTGGTTTGCTGTGTGGTCACGAGTTAACAATGTTTACGACTCTGTGGTGGAATGCATAATAAGATAATGTTGAAAAAATAGATTAAAGTTTAAAAATAAGTCTGTTATTGTCTGAAAATGATTTCTTAGAATAACATTAACAGCTGTTTTATTTGTTTTGATTGATTTGACGCCCTGAGCTCTGATTTTGTCCATCCCATTCAAATGTTCTTTGTAGAGTTAAAGATGAAAATGTATTTGATAAGGAAGTTTAAATATACGTGTATAAATTAAAATCAGACAACGTAATATTTTATGATACTATTTATGGAATGATACTTGTTAATTGTTGAGTAATTTTATGCATTTATATATTTCTTAACTTTTATACGAGTATTAGACATGTAAATAGGGAGTCAGTCACTAACTAACCAAGGTTAACACCCCGTTCGGTCAAACGTCACGTCGTCGCATAGTCATCGTTAAAAAAATAAGTATCGTACTGTATAAAATATTACAACGTTTAAGTCCCCGTTTTTACATATAATTTACCAAACCTGTAAATGCGTGAAGAATTTATGAAGGGCATTGGTATACCCAATTTAAATTTATAATTTAATAATGTGGTTTAAATGATAAATGACGTTCATCTTCAATGTATCTCATTTAAAATGTAAATATTATTTGTTGAATTTTAATAACATTCAATTTAGTTGATTATTTTATTACTTTAAGTTTTAATCATGGCTACTTATAAAGGATTATAGTAATAATTTCACTTATAAATACTTTTTTTTTAAGAAATTGTGGGCCGTGTGTGTGCTCGGGAATCCCCACCATTTCGTCCCGCAGTAGGAGTGAATGAGGTGAATACTACAGCTGGAGGTGGTGGTGGAGCTGCTGCAGAACTGCTGGAGCTGGCCTCGCGATGCTGGGCTGAGTTGCCTGATGATAGGCCGAGCTTCGATACTATCAATGTCAACTACATCAAGTAAGTAGTTACTATCCTAAGCTTGTTAATATATATGATAAAAGAATAGTTGTAGAAATAAGGGACAGGTAATATATTAAACTGGAGTTGACAGTAGCAACAGTTATGTTTATGAGTGTGACCGAAACAGGCATATGGGGTTAGAGTTGTGTAGAAACGGGTGTCATTTCCCTCTAACACATAGGGATAATCCTCCGACCAGGCGACGTGATCATGCCTGGTGGGCCACGGTCCAACGGTTGATGTTGGGAAGTTATTATGCATATATTATATTAAGTATATATGCTAATCTGCGAGAGAATTCTTCATATCGCGATACAGGATTAGCAATTCTCGTTCAGGAGTTACTCCGTAGTTCGGTGTGTCTTCGTTAGATTTTAGCTGTAGTATGTTTCTGTTTCTCTGTACGTGGGAGTCGCCACAGAGTTTTATGAGGCCCTCTTGGTCTAGCGGTTAGTGATCCTGGCTGCTAACTTAGAGGTCGTGGGTTCGATTCCTACCCAGGACAAAAAACTTTGAAAAAGTAAAATTGTAAAAAAGTCGAACTAAATAAAAAGAAAATGTATTCGTCTCAAATGATTTTTCTTTTCTTTTAGAGTGATATTCCGTTTTAGAGAGATATACTTTTGTTGTTAGGACAAGCAAGAAATTATTTAAATGTAAAAATCCTATATTCCCACCTTTTTTTGTAGACAGTAAAAATGTAAGAGATTATTGTTTTTATTATCTTATGTTAGTGCAAAGTATAAACACAACATTATCACCACCATATTTTTATTATGATTTTCACACACCTCATGAGAATTGTGTTTCTCGATTACACATAAAAGTTATAGTTAATATCTGGGCCAGACGTTTCCGCAATGTCGGGTTGATAAGGGATGAACATTACACGTTATATAACCACGTTTTATCACTGTGCGTTGTTTTGTTTTGAAAATTGAGGTTTTATTTCACGTTTTACGTGTAATCATGTTTAGAACAATGTCTATTTAAAATAGAATAGAATAAACTTTATTGTACATCTCTGTTTTATTACAAGAATACCATAGATGAATAAATTCAACTGTGTATTCATTGGCTTTTTTAAGCACAAAAACATGTCATAAGTTGGAGTAGAATGGAAGTATGTTTTACAATATTCCTTTAAGAAATATCTTTCAGATGATCGCCAAGAGACTTTTAAAAACTGTCAATAAAATACAGTAAATGTCATAGGTTAAGCGTAGGTACATAAATCAATCCTTTAGTTTACTATTCTTCTATCTACTTCACCAAATTTCAAATAAAATCGAAAGACAAAAATATTTTTGAAGACTAGAAAATATAACAGATTTTTAAGTAACAACCTAAAAATCATCAAATTAAATACCCAATTTCTAAAGTATGACGACCGTATTATTTTTTACCGCTTTAGAGGATACCGTGACAACTTAATGGATGACTTGTTGCGTCGTATGGAACAATATGCGAATAACCTCGAATCTCTTGTCGAGGAGAAAACTGAACAACTTTCGATGGAGAAGAGAAGGTCTGAAGAACTCTTGTACCAAGTGCTTCCAAGGTAACGTTGATAAATGTGATTTTTAATAGAAAAATTGCCAATATGAACTTAACAATTTATTAATTTCGCCGGTTTTTGATACTATTTTTCTTCTATACCTAACGCTTCTAAATGTAATTATTTAAAAGAAATAATAATACCATTTTTCAAAACACTTTTTTACTTATAAGACTAATAGGCCTACCACGCGAAGTCTTGAGTTTTGTACGCGAAAGTGATAAGTTGATGTGATACTACCTCATACCATTGTGTCCTGATTTTCATATAGGCCTGTAGCTCAGCAGTTGATGGCAGGCGAGGTAGTGCAGCCAGAGAGCTGTGAATGCGTAACTGTGTACTTCAGTGACATAGTCGGCTTCACGGAGCTCTGTGCCGCCTCTACCCCGATGCAAGTGGTGGATCTGCTCAATGACCTTTACTCCACGTTTGATAGGATCATTGGATTCTATGATGTTTATAAGGTTAGATTATTGTTGGAGTTTACTCCTTAAGAATCGATTTTCATATAAGGCGACCGGTATGAAAAAAATATGAAGAGTAACATTTAGTGATCGAATGAACTCGTTACGTTTTTTGTGCGCACCCTTCACATGTATACTTGTGTGCAGCCAAATCGTTCATAACGAGTAAAGTCCAGTTGTGCGTCGAAGCTGTGACACATCCTTTTTTATATTTTAGGATTAGTACATATCGTAGGAGAGCCATGCTTGATACCACGGCCTCACAGACAACATGTTGAGTAATTCTTTCGTTGCTATCACGAGTGAAGTCACCGGATTCCAAAGAGGGGCAAATGCAGCAGCAGGAGACATCCTGCTGCTGCATTTGCCCCTCCCCCCCTATAAAAAAGTAAATTGACGGACGCCTTTCTCTGTTTAGGGTAGACAGAAACAACAGTCTGTCACTTGCTTTTATTTCATATTTTGCAAATCTGAGGTGTTACTCTCAAAATTTTGGGTAATGTTAAACGCAGGTGGAAACAATAGGCGATGCTTACATGGTAGTGTCAGGCCTCCCAGCGCGTAATGGTGACCTGCACGCCCGAGAGATCTGCCTCATGGCGCTAGCCATCGTCGAAGCGGTACGAGGCTTTGTAGTGCGTCATCGACCGACCCATAGACTGGAGGTATGCACATACTTTTACTTCAGTAATATACTCTTCCTTTACTACTTCTGACCCGCATGTACTAGGAATCTCAAAAGGAATGATTTCTTCCCGCTTTTGTAAGTTTTGATTGATGCTCAGCTCCCATTCATCGAAGCGTGATGCCATAGCTTGCCTTGATAAATAGACTCTTCAATACTAAAATAATTTTTCAATTCGAATCAGTAGTAAAACTCTAGAGCTTTATAATATTAGCATAGATTTGATGCGAATAATTCTCTCTATCATTAAATTTGAAAAAAAAATGAATTAGTTGACTTCGTTCGCCTTTTGGGTTGTTCTTTTAATAAAGTCATAATAGGTAAACGATACAAGAAGAAGATAAAAAACGACAAAAGAAGAAGATTCCTCTTATGTTATTTACATGTAATCATTAGTATGGGGTACCTGATAAATAAAATCTCTCTAATAAATAACTTCTTTTGAACAAATTATTTTTGTGCCTTTATTAAGGTTCGTATTGGGGTTCATTCTGGCCCAGTCTGCGCAGGAGTGGTTGGTGTTAAGATGCCCCACTACTGTCTGTTTGGGGACACTGTCAACACAGCCAGTCGAATGGAGTCTACTGGTCAACGTACGTACTTTTAAATAAACATCTACAAATGATTAAACTTTAACGAAATACATAATTAAATTAATTCATCACTTTCATGATTGTTCTTACAATTAAGTGTAATAATATTTAATTTTTGCAATGAGTAAAATATTTCTATAGACAAATATGCAACAGTTCTCAACAGTCGTTATTCAAATCCAAAATCAAATTCTCCAAATTCTCTCACCACACTCAATCACACACACACTCACACACATCAATTAAATCCAAATTCTCTCACTACACTCAATCACACACACACACACACACACACACACACACACACACACACATCAATTAAATCCAAATTCCCTCACCACACTACTATATATAACTGTATATTTTACTGCTCATTAAGATCATGATATGAAATTTCAGTATTACCATTATTAGGTACTTATTATAAATGAAGGTAAGATAGATACTTAGATATACTACACTTGTTTACTTTGACAAGAAAAGTCGTTAACAGTCATTAGTCTAAAAACTAGGAAGTTTGAACGAGATCGCAGTAACGTGATAAGAGATAGGAACTAGATTTATTACACTTTCCTGGTTGTTTACTTGAGGTACTTAAGACTCAATTCATTTATTTCTCAATTTATGTGTGATCAACCTTCATGCTTACATAGTAAAATTCTATTTGTTAGAAAATTGTCTTTCCTATGGTGGTTTCGTGAAGACAACATTTGTATTTCAACTACAAGTAATATGTTTCTTTGATTTGAGAAAATTTTAAGTAGCGACGGAAATTAACGATCGTTTTGTGGTTGTGAACAAGAAAAACTCATATTATCATCAGTTCAGAGGGGATTGTATTAACAATATGGACCGTTTATCTTGTAGTTTTTCTGATATATGATAATGAAGCACAGGCACTGCGTACTTTGGGATCAGACAGCCGTGTATAAGGTGTATGAGGTTATTTTATTACTATTTTAATTTTAACTTTTTTTCTGGTTGGTTACAATTTTAGCTCTGCGTATTCACCTAAGCGAAAATACTAGAAGCTTGCTGGAGCAGTGGGGGACTTTCGTTGTCGAACGTCGAGGGGAGGTGGAACTCAAAGGTCGAGGAAGAATGATCACATACTGGCTGCTTCACTGCTCGGAACCAGAAACCAGATCACTGTCTCAGGGCCCGCAGCCACCGCCACAGTACCCCATACTCTTCCCTGGGCTTCCTCAACCAACCTTATCTCTACAAGTACCTTATTTAGTAGTAGATCCACCTACTTTAGCAGCTTAATATATTTAGTTTTTGTCTATTAACTAACAACAACAGTTAGTTACTAAGAATATATTTTCTGTAAATGTTTTATTACCTATTTATTTTTATAAAATATTTCATTTCAATTTCTTCAAAATGCTTTTTTTAAATATAATTGATAAAGGAAAGAACAACATTTTACTAATACAGGCTTTAAACATTTAAACTTTGCGCTGATACAGATAGTTTCCTGAGAGAAAACAAAATAATTCGAAAAGGACTGAAACTGAAACCGAGACTGAATGACTGCAAAAGTACCTATATCCTTCAGAAAATTGCGGTTATCTAGCATTACTCTGATTACTAATATTTTGCTGGGGCATAGTGTCAGAACATTTTAGGGTTACACATAATTATTATTATCAACATACAATTTTAAGTAGGATTTGCAACAACGGTTCCATATGAACTTAATCAATTAATAGCTGATAGTTCAAACTAAGTCATGTGTATTTTAGTTGTGCTGTAAGATCCTGTTTTTTCCCTAATTTTTCTGATTTTAAGTAAATGAGCCCGTAGACCGGCGAAAATCAAACTTATCTTTCAGATACGAAACCAAAAACCATTAAAAGACAATTATTTTTACTTTTTAATGTACCTAAGAAAATAAAGTGAAAAGGTGAAAAGTGCAATAAATACAACATGTTACTTTTTAATTTGCTCACGCCTTTCTGTCTTCAAAGTAGGCAGAGACAGCCGCTTGCCACCTGTTTCCATCCTTACATTTCTCACAAGACTTCTCTACCGTCATTGTAGCTTTCAAACAAAATCCGCCTGTTTTGGATGTTTTTTCCCTGCCCTTTCTTTCGATTATTGCCAATTTGATTAGGTTTTATTAGTCAGATGGCTGTAGGGGTCCACCAATCGTACAGGCCATCTTACTAACGTTAATTATATGAATTTGTATTATCGTAGTAAAACTTAAAATATACAGTCTCATCTTTCTTACAATATAAAGCTAAGCTAAACTTAAAACAGCTGCTTCGATATGCAAATTTTATGAACATTTTACCGTCATTTTATCCGTGTCTCTTGTTAACGACATGACTGTTATAACATTTACATTTTACTAGCTGAACAATGGAGGATAACACAGATTTGCATTAAACAGTTGAGTCAGAAGGAACATTAGTTACGTCTAGATGCATCTCAATTGCTATGCAGTTTTATTATGGAGTTTCTCTATTATATTTACGGCGCGTAATCAAATGGCGCGATGTTGTTATTTTCGTAATTAGTTTTATAAAAGTGCTTGTTTAAGATTATACCTTTTTTAAGATTTCGTAGTAAAAAAAAACCTTTTTAATTTCTCCATGAACGTATCATGTCTGTCTGTCCTCTCTTAGATAAGAGACTCTTAGTACGAGGAAGTTATAATGTGGTACGCATAACATGGGTATAAATACATACATATTGTACTATAAAAACATCTACGGATGGATGGTATATTCCTACTGATAAGTCGAAACATTACAATATAATTACAACATTATTAAATAGTCACAGATAAGTGAATAGGTAATTACTTTACAAACATAGTTCTATTTAGCTGCAATGTTCTTTGGGTTGAAGGTTTTTTATCGGACCCAGTTCGTCCTACTTTTAATAGAGCACCACACGAAGGTTGGTTTACATAACACTGTTGTATGGAACCCAGTCATTGTAAAAACATGTTTCCGCTAGTGATTAGCTTGTTAGACAGTTGGTGGGTTTCAAAAATGACTAAGCTAGTTAATCCATACTTTATCTAATTTTTGCATATTTATTGTAGACATAGGCAAAAATGTTAGCTATTACCTTGCATTTCACTTCTTACACGTTAATATTAATAATATTGTTAAAGGCTCGGTAGTTAAAAGATTCATATCAGTAACTTAAACGATTTAATTTACATGTCTCATGTAATATGTCTTACTACTACGAGTATATTGCAATACGTCATTTATAATGTCACATGAAAGTCAATCTTATATACATATATAAACCTATATAAATAGAAATAAAAATTAGGATACAGTTTATATTATAATGTACAAATACATTCACAGAAACATTTACATCTGTTCAACCGAACCCTTTCCAAACAGATGTAAGTGTAAAGTGTTTACGCAGTGGGGTATTAGAAGTTGGGGTAAAATAATAGACTATCGAAACCTTTTGAAACTAGCTCACGTTTATTTCTATGGTAATTTAATAATAGTATTCATAAATTAGCATTAAAAAAGTAGCAGTAATATCGTCTTCGAAAAAAAAAGAATCTCAATGAGTGAATCTTTTTTTGTCTATATGTTACCTGATATTTTCGAGATTTAAAAACTGATTCTAATCATATTTTTTATTGAATTGATTAATTGATTGAAGGTTTGCCTCGTTTAAATTTGAAAAAAATATTCTACATCTCATTTGGTAATTTTAAGGCATGAAGACTAAGGTTATTAAGCATTTATAAGGATGTCGGAAATACTTCCTTAAAAGTTAATTATAACTACAACAAATGTTTAGGAAATATTAAAGAAAATATCTTATTGGTTTTTCTTCTAAGAAATTATATTTATTACCTTTAAGCCTTAAAACAATTTATATTCAAATATTCATTTAAGAGTCGTAGCACTCGTTTCAGTGTAGTCTACTGTTTTTAGGCTTTTTAATTATATATATGATAAATAAAATTAGAAATGAAAAGATTAATAGTAGTAAAAATTATTCGTTAGAAAGGAGAAATAAGCGTGTAAACTTCTAGTCTTAGAAACTGGTTAGGAAAGTATTTTTATATATTATGGCAAGTATCTCGTAGTGCCAAATAGAATATATATTGTAGTATAATTATAAATTAAATACACTAAATAATTGTCTCATTACTCAACTCATTACTTAACAGATAAATCAGAATTTTATACATTTCGAAGTTCGCCGACTGGACAACCTATCTGGTATAAACTGCTATATGTGTACTAGATAAACTGCTATGTAAACCTGCTGATGGCGTATTTTAAAGGGAGAGGTGTTAAGGACTGGCTAGAGAATTATTTTAATGTTCAGTTGGTAGACAGGCTATCTTTTTCGCATAAAAGAAGGAGGTGAATCATTATACCTATATAGTGCTTCAAGGAGATTTGTTATTGTAAACAAACAAACAGAGAAATCTCATAAATGTGTTACAGTATGTTTTGTTGTAAATATATATGTCTTACTCTATCTTACATTTTTAACAATTATTGTGTGTTATGAGAAATAAATTAAAATTAAAATGTGTAACTTTACTTTTCTGTTTTTTGTTTAAAACCATGTCAAAATGGTTTACAATTATTTTTACAGAAGTTAAGATCCTTGCAGCTGCAAATAGATGCGAGAATAAAAAAATATTCCCGGCAACTGTGCCCTTACTCGTAGAATCTGTATATGTACTGTCGTGGTATAGCTGTACTTAATTAGGTGCGTAGTGTTCCTACTTTCATACATTTCTAATCTTCTTGTAGAATTATAGTGCTATCACTAAATGCCTATTTTTATATGAATGTTAACAAAGAAATATCAAATATTATATTATTAAAAGATACATGTTTTCATTTATTTCACGTCAATTAAATGTAATGAAATGACAATTATTTTCCATGTTTGATGATAAATAAAGAGAAAAATATGATTGCTGTTTCATTTAGACTAGTGACGTCACAAAGATCGAAATTCAGCCATGATTCATCAGGTTACTTATGATAACAAAGCGTTTTACAAAACAAAAACACATAAAATCGCTTGACAAGAAATAAACAAGGAAAGGCTAAAAAATTATGTCCATCAGAACAAATTAGTTTCTGGTGACCATCCCAAAAACATAGTTTTTGACGTGACAACGTCTTATAAATTGGTTTGCCGGGTGACACTTCAAGAAACTGCGTTACGCTCCGCTCACGTTATGCGCTCACAATGAGAGCGAGTGAGAGGCACGCGTCCCTTCCACTCGGGCATGGTTAGCCCGCCTAAGAGCGAGAGAGACAGACATAAAAAGTGAAAGGCACGCGTCCCTTCCACTCGAGCACAGTTAGCCCGCCTAAGAGCGAGAGAGACAGAGCGAGAGAGAGAGAGTGAGAGAGATAGGCATACACATTTTATTTTATTGTTTTAAATTGTTACTATTATTTCATCCTTCTTCCTACTATACGAATGAATATTCACATTAAAATTATTTTACCACTCAAAGTCGTTGTCACGTAAAACTTTCGCCCGTATACCGACTTTACAGGCAACCAATTTTTTTTTTAGAAAATAGAGAAGACAGCTTTTTGTTCCGCATTCGTTGTGGGTTCGACTTGTACATAATTATTGCCTTTGATTGATGACTTATGATTATTGAATTGACTGCACCGATGGCGTAGTGGTTTAAGCGGTCGCGACGCCGCTTCCTACTACACTGAGTGTTCTGGGTTCGTATCCCTACATGGGAGGACACTTTGTGCGATCTCGAAATTATTGTTCTGAGTCTGGGTGTTTTTGTGTCCGTTTTATGTGTGTTTGTAAACTCCTCCGCGACGCAGGATATATTTCTCATGCGGGAGTAGTCTTTAAAAAAAATTACATCATCGTGTCGACGCTCATTTAGTGGCTAGAGGTTTTATTTTATTTTCCAGTTGTCGTAGTATGTGCTGGTTGAACTTTAATAAAGTTAATTTTCCCCTTCTTTATAATAATATATTTCAAAGCATTCTTCTTAAGAACTTCCATCATAAACACTATTATAGATATCGTAATCCCTATCACATCACATCAACAGCCTATACTAGTCCACTGCTAGACATAGGCCTCTAATCGTAATCCCTATGATAAGACAAAAAAAACAGCTAAGAGTTTGATGGAGAATTAACGTTGAAGGATTCGACGATACTGTTGTCACTGAGCTGGTTTTTGTGTGAAGATATTTGTGCAGCAAAACCACTTTCCAAGAGCCTATAGTAGTATAGATGAAAATCCATACTACTAAAGGTACCGTCAGAATAGAATCAGGCAGTACATGTCCACATTCATTCTCTCTCTTACTTTGAGATAGGCAATTCGCTAAAGCGTAGGTACTGTAGAGATACCGCAATCACGAAGTTCTTTTCCCATCTGTAACATCATAGAATATGTCTTCAAATTTTTGCTGAGAAATATTTTCAAATTCGTTTCTTATCGATCAAATTCAAAAATAAGCATAAATACCAGCTCGGCCTCCGAAAGCATAACCGTAATCGATAATCCCTCGCAGATTCGCGAAGTTAGCCACCAAAGTATCCGTCTTTAAAGCACCAATTAGTATGTACGCCCTGATAAGCATTTCTTAGGACAAAAGTGAACCATAACTAGAGGAGAGACTAATAATGTAAAAAGTACTAACAAAGCTACACGAACTCTAAAATACGGCAACGAGTAATCCTGAAGACCAAATACATCTACTCCTAATGGAATACTGCAAGTGGAGATATTTGCCAAACTTGTAATAACATCGTTTAAAGAATCAGACCAGTTCTTTGCACGATCAGAATCAATGCTCACATAATTTCTGTTTGATACTACAGGTGTAAAATTAATTACATTTTGTCCTGTTATCTCCTGTTATCTTCTTTTCTGGATGGTGGTAGATCTTGTTCGTTGATATGTACATAGGGCATCTAGGTATATTGCGCATTTTATTCAAATACACATCAGATAATTTAACATCTCCCCAATGTTCTATTAACATCGGAGCCGCATTTTGGCAATTCAAATTATTTTTGTATGGATCAAGTTCACTGTTCTTCTTACTTTGAGCAATAATTACGATGTTGATGACGTAATAATTTATTTTTTATTTATGTATTTTAAAAAATAAATCCTGTGTCGCGGGGGACTTTACAAACATACATGAAACGGACACAAACAACACCCAGACTCAGAACAACAATTTGTGGATCACACAAAGTGTCGTCCCATGTGGGGTTTGAACCCACAACACTCGGCGTAGTAGGAAGCGGCGGGGCGACCGCTTAAACCACTACGCCATCCGTGCAGTCATAATAAATCCAAAGAATACGAGTAATATGATCCCTTTTTTATTTTATAGGAATTCAAAACGATTATATATTTTCCTTTGCCATTAAATAGATTTTTGCCTTTTAATTCCGGTTTTAAACTGGCTAACAGCTTCAGAAAAGAGTGATAGTTGTCGACAATGATGACAGATTGTTTCGTTGGATATCCAGCATTTTAAATTTAAGTCTTTTTTTTTTTGTTAGAGGGGGCAGACGAGCAGACGGGTCACCTGATGGAAAGTGACTATCGCCGCCCATGAACGTCTGCAACTCAGGAGTAATAAACGCGTTGCCGGCCTTTTAGTAAGGACATCATAATTCCTTTGTATTCTTTTATGAAGTCATTTACAAGTTGATTTTCAAATTCTTGAACAAAATCACAGCAGCCACAGGATTATTAAAATGAGTATTTTCTACTTCTGTAGCACAACTTATTATAGATTTTTGTCGATAGTTTCACAGTTAGTAATTTCAATAACAGACATGACCAAATTCAAGATAGCTTGAAGAAAATGTGCAGACATTTTTGAAGACTTGTACTGATATATCTGGTAAAAATAATTTTAAAGACTTACTGGAAAACGCTATAAATCATCTATTGTTTTAAAATGTTCTAATGGCATTCAGTGCAGACATCCGTCTAAGTTTGATCGATGAACAACGTTAATGTTGTATTAAAAAACAAAGTCTCTTTTAAAATTGTGTTCAAACATCATAATCTATCTTAAAGGGAAAATACGTAGACTTGCATGAAGAATTTGCTCTTATAAATCGTTATGAAGTCTTATAACATTTACGGATTGCAACAGTATATGGCGCTTAAAGAGATTCTCAGGTATAATATTCAATAAAATTATAAAAACTAAATATCATCGAAGTCTGAAATGGATCATTACATGGATAATTGGCACTCCACCACTGTGCGTTTGTCAAGAAAGCTTTTGCCTCGCACAATTAATCTGTTTTAGAAATTTTCACCTATGGTATTTCCTATGGTATTTCAAGAAAGGAGAGTACTCCTACCTCAAATTCCCGGCAATGCGCTTGTGACCCCTGAATTGCAGGCGTTCATGGGGGACCTGTCTACTCGTTTACTCGTTTGCCAACTCAATAAAAAAAAAACAATGTCAAACGTGCTATGATTACCGGTGCTACTGATAAATATTTAATTCAACAACATCATCTGCTCGACTGCCTGCCTGCCTATAACATTAAAAAAGAAAAAAAAACGGTATTTGACTAGTGACTAGCGCTATAATAGGCAAGTTTAAACGCGAAACGAGGATATTGCCATCATCTCTCTGTAAATCCGGTGTATCGAACAAATTAACAAACAAACAGAAAATAAACAAAATTATCAGTTACTATTATATGCTTCAGTCACCTAGCAACACCGGTTACCATGACAACGTATATAACAACATAATATTAACTAAACAGTCTTAGCCAAATTGTTTCTCCACAAACTACGCTCCTATTAATTGCTTAAGATCAAGTGACGTCATTAGTGACGTCAGTGATATGTTAGCCCAGCGATTAGCAGCCATTAGTTTTAATTAACTCGTAAATTATTTCAATAGCATTATTATTAAATTGTACAAAATATAATTGAATGTGAAAGATTGTTTATGCCGGTATGTACCTATTGCAAATTCTTCTTTTGCAGTGTGAATTGGTTAAGCTGACAGCTAATCTGTTTAATTAATGACAATAAAAGAACATAGCTTCCAACCAATCAAAATATTATTATAGTTTGAATTTTCCTAAAATAGGTACTAAGCTTTTCGTAGCAGATTACGTAACAAACATCATATTCAAAGAAAATGTAAAGAAGAATATAAGCTACGATGAAAGAAGAAATATTTGATCAACATTATTATTATTGGCTATTCGTTATGACGTGTGCTAGTGCTCTGCATTTAGAAATGCCAGATAGCTGCCAATCTGGCCACTATTATGAGCCGACCGCAATGACCTGTCAAAGCTGTCCTGCTAATGCTTCTCTGGTTACATCAGCTGATGGTAAGTTAGTGAAATTATAGTAAACACACTTTGTATTAATAAGGCAGTATAAAAGATTATAAAATCATTTAACGTGAAAAATCTTAATTTATTTTTATTAAATTGATTTTGAAAGAAACTATAATACACTTATCGCGATAAGTTTACGTCTATCTGAATTATGGGTAATGTGATTTTATGAAGAAAAAAGTATTTAATACATTAATATTTAATGTATTATGTACTAGGTTGTTCCCGCGACTTCGTTCGCGTGAAATTTGAAAAGCGCTGCCTTAGAGTGTTCTACTTTTTTTGAGTCCTTTTGAGAGAAAAATGGCCTAAGTTACTCCTTATATGGACAGCTACTTGGTAGTAAAATATTAACAAAAACGATCCAGCCATTGCAAAAATTACCCGGAACAAACAGACAGACAGACAAAATAGATTTAAATGGTTTTTTAGGCATAGGTATCGTGTAAATAGCCGTGTGAGCATGAAAAAAACCTATTATTTAATTTTATTTATTTGTATAGATATAGATTATTTGACACTATCCGACCAGTAAACCCAATATAGGTAACTCAAAGGGTAACTAACTTATCTGTATTTAAAAAACCGCTCACACACGGTGTCTGACCAGATCTCAGATTATGACTCATTTTAAATAGTATCAAGCCAAGTAACTTTTTTTAAACTTTGTATTTTGTTCATAAAATTCTAACTAGGTACGTTTTATACCTTAACATCTCCTTCTGAATCCGTAAGTTCCCTTACTACTATCATGAATTTTAAGATTCAAGTAAATTTCCACTTTAAAGTTCAATATTGTGCAAAACGGATCCCTGAATCGAGAAATGTTCGAGGGAAAATGGTACATACAATTTTTATTTATTTATGAAAAGACAACTCCCGCACTAGGAATAAATCCTGTGTCGCGGGGGACTTTACAAACACACATGAAACGGAAACATAGAACACCCAGACACAGAACAACAATTTGTGGATCACACAAAGTGCTGTCCCATGCGGGGATCGAACCCATAACGCTCAGCGCTTGTAGGAAGCGGCGAGATGACCGCTTAAACCACTACGCCATCCGTGCAGCCAGTCACAATACAAAAACACCCCAATTTACGTGTAGCGGAAATACACCAAGCAACAATACATTTTGCAGACAGACAGACAGACAGACATGGTCCAACTAAGACGGTTAGTTATTAGGATTACGGAACCCTGAAAATGCAGTTATTAAACCTAGAAGTACAAGTACAGAAATTTTTCATATTTAAGTAGCTCTAAAAATGTATTTTGAGGATTTGGCTGTTCGTGTGAAGAGCACAGCGTTCCAGCAGGGATTAATCGCTGTAAGCCATGCAACGCTACGGAAATGGTGTCTGCAGATGGCGCCACTTGCGTACCGCGACGTTGTCAAAACACTGGGGGAAGGTTCGCCTGCAGGAAATGTCCTGGTGATTACATCAGTGGTGCGTATGTATGACAGTAAAGGTTGGTAACACATTTTCAAGCACTTAAAGCTGATATTAGCAGATTTTGGTGCAACAGATGTAGAAAGTTATGCAGGGCTTTTGCCCCTATAAAACGCATATATTATGGTGTCTTACACCTGCTCAATGGATTATGAAGAATAAAAAATGTATACAGAAATTAATTTATTACCCTATAACGCAAAATACTAAAAATAAATCGGAATAGGCCAATATGAATTTAGACTGATTCTTATTACTTATATTTACATGTTTACATGAAATTCGTGTATTTTATAATATAAGTAACACATATTTATGTATTTATGAATTTCCATATCAAACACCTTTTCTACACACTTTATGTTAACTCTGTTACAACACTTTATGGCTTTACTTAGTATTTCTATTTAAAGAAATAAAACTCAGCCAAAGATTTTGAAATCAATTTCCTTTCATCCAACAGTGACCCAAAACATTGACGGTTCGCCTCTCAAAGAGGTACAATGCATGAAATGTGCTAGAGGCTTCAGAGCTGAGAACAATGTTTGCGTGAAGTGCGAGGCCTGTGTTTGCACCAAGAGCCAGATCGTCGTCAGAGGAATCTGTGTGCCGAAGAGCTATATTAACAATAGACCGAAGTACGAGGAGAATAGCTTGCATCCCTTAGCTTTATTAGACGTGGTGAAGCACGAATATTCATGTACGGTAAGTGTATAAACTTGCTTCCTAACTCTGAAGATTTTTACAAAAACATAGCAGGTTATTTTACAATGTAGTCTATACTAGATTGTAAAATACTACATAGTTTAATCTTGCCTATGGGCTTGGTTAGGCCCTTTATATATCTGCGGCTAGTGGCAGTTTACTTAGAGGAGCGTACCGTCATGTTCAAAGTCCGAGATGGTATTTATAGGCACCGCGCCGGAACATGTTGTGCGGTGTTCCGCAGGGGTCTGTTCTCAAATCACTCCTGTGGAACACGGGATACGAATAGGCTTCCCACACGGGCTGGATGTAATTTGTTACGATGATGACCCATTGGTCACAGCCAAGTAGGCGACTTTCAAGAGGTGGTATGTCTGGCCACTAGGAGAGTCTCTCTGGTGGTCGGGCGCAGGAGGTCCTTTTCTTCTATTTGCCCCGTCGTGGTCTGTCCCCCGACGCCTTAATTGTGGTCAATTTGGTCCTCGTACCGGTTTGGGCCCAGATGAGCCCGATACTTCACCAGGCTCTTAGACCAGCACTTCCGACAGCTTGGTCCAAAGCTGGTCGGCACTGCGTGCGCGAGGGCCGGAACTCAACCGTGGAATTTGGAGGCGAAAATACTTGCAGAAGTATATCAGTGACTGGCTGAGTTCCAGGTGGGTAGCGGCAGTCAGCCCCGCTTGAAGATTTATGCGAGTGGCGACAGGCTACTCGCCGAGATTCGATCGCTTGGTGGTCGTGCTGGGGGCGGACGGCAGAACGGGACCATTTCCTTCCGACTGACGAAGGTTCTTCCGGTGGCACGGCTTTTTTGGGAAGTACCTGTACTCGGTCGCCAGGAGGGAATTGAGGCCCGCCTGTCACCACTGCGATTGCGGTGAGGACTAGGCTCAGCATACATTGGCGGTTTGCTCCGTTTGGCGACGTAGCGTCTCTGACTACCGACCGTCATACGCTCCATGGAAGACGTCATCTTTCAGAAGGAGGCCCGGGAGGACGACCTCCATTCGGACTCCATTCGCCGCCGACGAACCGGGTCGGTTCCGGACGTTGCCTAAATAGAGAATTTATTCAATGATGAAACGCTATTGCGGACAGGCGCTAGGAGGGGTCCGGATACCTTAATAACAGCTGTTACCTGATAACAGCTGAGTGTGCTATCTCAGGCGCAGAATGGAACACCACTTTTTTGTCGGTTCTATTGCGACACACCACCCCGTCGCAAGCCCCGGTGAGGTGACTGCCCGAGGGGGTCTCCACACGTCAAGATAAACACAAAAGGCCCTTTATATATCTACACGTATGAATGTATGTGTATATTTTTGCTTAATTCACAAAGTCCTATTTAATATGGATGTCAAAATATCAGTTTTTAACATGTTAGTAACGACCTAATAATTTTTTTTAAATGTATTTAATAATTTTTTACCTTTCAGCAAAATGATTTTCGAGCTTGTCGCACTCTGGCTAGTGAATGCGTCAAGAATTTTTACTCTACTGACCTCGCAGGACCTTGCAGACTATGGATACAATCTAAAATACCAACACCCAAAGGTAGCCTTACTTCATACTAATCCTACAAGAACATTTGTAATATATCAGCTGAACCAAGAAACTGTGAATGAAGAAAATGTCTCCAAGAAAATGTCTATACATGAGTTAGTTCTACTCTGGTTTGAATAACATTTGTAAGACATAAATAAATAATCAATTATCAGTGCTACAAAATATACCAGCTGATTCAGCCGTTCAGTTGTTCAAAGCAATTTTTTACACGCTTTATATTAGCTTCACTTGTTTGTTTGTTTGTATGTTTGTAACCGATTCCTTTGGGCGTGATTTTGACTGACTTTAAACGGTCAGAATTCGTTCAAACTTTGTAGATATATCGACCGATGACAATACACTAATTTAAAAAAATAAAATAAATAAAAAATAGTTTTAGAAGGCGTGTTTTTTAGTTTTTTAAAACTATAATTTGTTTAAATCACTGTCTGCGTAACAGAATGCTCTACATTATTATTGAGTAACCCGCAGTTTAACTTCGCGTTGTTCCACTTTTAAGGCTCGTAGTGTAATTTAATGCATCTTGTAAATTTTTAGATAGTTTTTTACGTAATTCTATGATTGTTAACTCTAATTGAACATAAGCAAAAGCAAATTAATTGCTATATAAACCGGAAAAGGGGTTGGGTGCTAATTAGTAGAAAATATCTTAGTATTAAATTGTAACGTGAAACAACGAGCTCATATTCAATATTTATTGTAACTCCCTCCGCCTTAAGCCTGTCGTGATTGGTCAATATGACTTGGGGTCTTCTAGGGCTTAGCATTGATCTTTGGTACCCTTGTTTAATGAAAGATATACCGAAATATTAACCAAGTCATTTAATTAATAGGCGATTGTTTGTTCTTCGTTCTTTTTACTTATACGCAAAATATAAATATGTTTGTGTGTTGAATGTTTTTAATAAAAAAAATGGAGTTGCAGGCGTTCATGGGCAGCGGTAGTTATTTTCCATCAGGTGACCCGTCTGCTCGATTGATCCCTCTTCCATAAAAAAATAAAAATATATTTTTGATATTAGTAATAGAATATTGTAGGACACATAACCATAACGCATTTAGGAGAATAATATCGCAGAATCAAAATAAAAATTTAAAAGAGATTCCATGCTCAAAATATATATTTTAAAAGTAAATAATGATTTGTAATAAAACTGTTTTCTTCATTCCTTAATTTAATTTGAATGGGACAAGTCAGGAAGTATACTCTCCTAAATAAAATAAAAAAATTCAATATCGGTTCGTAAATGACGCAGTTCTGAAGAAAAGCCAGCAGAATTGAGAATCTCCTTTTTCGAAGTCTATTTACGATGAAAAAAAAGTAATAAAAAACAACATTTTATATCTACAACAGAAGCCTTTATTAAATTCACGCTTAGTACAGTTATTATGACTAATAACCAAGTTTATTACATAAGTTGTGTAAGGTCGTATTTCTAAAAATAATTTATCTATTTTCCCAGGCTTACCGCTACTTACAGTACAATCTTCGTTGACAGACAAATATCCGGGTGAAACAAATTTACCCCGTGGGAAGGTAAGGTTTACTACCTCAGGTTTTATGATTTGGTGACAGCCATATTGCTACCATAAATCTTGAATCATAAGATATATTATAACTCAGCGGATGGCTCTACAAATATGGCGGTTGAAGCGTATCTTATTCAGAAGTAACGACTTTAAAACTTTATGAAATTGGCGATTTGTTAACCTTACAAGGTGTTCTTACAGTATAATAGAGGACTTATTTTTATCAAAAAATGAAGATTCACCCAAAACCAAATTTAGAAATTTATTTTATTCTCTCTGCCTTTTGGTGCAGCAGCAATAACCCACATAATAATATTGATGCAGGCAATATTTCGTGGCGAGGGTCACTACAATATTAAACGCACAAGTGTTGAGTTCAAAGACAAAACTTTATGTGTCCTATTCAGATTTTCGATATTTCCCTTTTCATAGCACTTCCCGTGAGTAGGAAAAATGCTATAGGCAAATCGAATGGAAATTCGTTTTGCCCTTGTATGTATTGAAATTTATTCAATGAATTTAGAATAGGTAAGAGTACAAAAGTATTTACATTCCGGAGAAAATAATACACTCGTCTGCGAGTTTACATCAGTACCCGGTAAATAATACATTTTTAAATAATGACTAACTGTAGCCAAAATATATTTAAGTTTACCGTTTTAGGATTCTTTAATAATAGCGGCAGCGGTGTATACTTCACAAGGAGGAGTACTGTTCCTTAAAGATCCGAGTCAACAGGTCTCTCCGTGCTATTTGCCTATTAATATTCAAATTGGACGTGACTTTACGTAAGTAAATTATTCTTTAATATTATGATAGTTAAAGAAGAGTAACGTGAGTTCTCCTCCTATGTAGCCAGTCAACATATCTATGTAGAGATGCAGGGTAGCCGTACGGATACTACGGCTATTCAAACGATATTGAGTAGCACAACACATTTATTTCAATTCTTTATTTCCCTTTAATTATTACTAAAAAATAAAAATAAAAAGTTATTAACATTAAAGTTTTCTAACGATTTTGATTTATCTGTCGTCTGCGCTTTTACTTGTGCTTCTACTGAGGCTTCAAATAACCAAAAATACATATCATTTAAGTATTATAAAGGATTAAAATCAAAGTATTTTTAAGACTTAAATCCTGTTTAAATACCTTTGTCCAAGAACAGAAGATTTTGCCCAGGTCACTTACCTTTGAAAATATCAAACAAGAACGCTTTTAATTTGTCAATCGTTGCTCAGACAATAAAATAAAGTACATACTCGTATTCATTTATTTATATTTACACGAGTTATGAGCTAAAAGCATACCATTCTTACTCTTCCCTGCTTAAAATAAAACTTTCTGAAGCATGACCTGAAAGCATCTGTCATCGCTTTTGGACGGAAGTTATGTACCTCGATACATATTACTTTCATTCCGGAAGTGACCTTCAGTAAAATCTACGGCGTCTGGCTTTAAGAGACTTTTGTGAGAGTTATACTCGTACGTACAAAAAATGAGGTAGGAAAATTTAAGGGAAAAGAACAAACAAAAGAAAATTGGTGTTATACGAGTATACGCGTGATATTCTGATTTGTTTTTTTACTTCTTCCACGTGTAAAGGTTGTACTGTCCTGATTTTAAAATTACCAGAATACTGTAAGAAATTTGTAAAGTAGGTATACTCGTACACAATATATATAAAGAATCTATCGTGAGTTAAGTAACCCGTTAATTTGCGGTAGCCCTTCAGGCTATAAGAAAATAACATTTTTATATCAGGGTTGTCAACTGTGTAAAAATGGTGAAAACTTAATTTTTTTTTAATTTTTGCTTCTTTACTCATTCATTCTGTTGCCATTTCAATAAATTAAGGGGTTTCTCGCTAGTTTTGTTTTGAATCGTACTCCTGGAGACTTTTATTATTTTGTTAAATATCACATTTGAAGCACTTTTATAATTTTTACCAGCACTTTTACCAGACCAGACCCAGATATATATGTATAATTATTTATATATATGAATAACAATAAATTTTCAAATCATAAAAATTATAATTATAATTAAATTATTACCTATATTGTGTTTCTTCGTCATTATAAGTAAATTAATTGTACTGTTCAAATATTTAATTTGGTTAATGTTTGTGAGCCAACAAAAATTCAATTGTTGTTTAAGAAAATCCTTCTTTCATCGTCGTAATAAAAATAACTATATTTGTCTATTGCGTCAATTACTTTCTCGCTCGCAGCTATACATCGTTTTAAAATGTCAACGATAATTTCATAGATGATTATTCATTTTTTTTAAGGTTCCGTACCTTAAAAGGAAAAAAAACGACACTCATATAGGATCACTTTGTTATCCGTCTGTCTGTCTAGACCCTTTATCTCGGTAGCGCGTGTAGGTATCGGGTTTAAAACTAAAATCACGTACCTGAGCCTACAGTCCCCTGAAGCTGTGAAAAAATCACATATCTAAATTAACGTAAAAAAAAGATATGGCAGTTATTTTGCAAAAAAACGCATATTTCGACACTCTCAAGGAAATCAAAATTTATAGGGTATTTCCCATTGACCTAGAACTATGAAATTCGGCAAGTAACATCGTCCTATAGTAACAGTACAGTAAAAAATTTAGGGCTTCTTTTGCCTTTACTTAGCATGAAAACGATGTACTTTATTCAGGACTTTAGGACTTTTACTAAACATTGGTTCGACCTTTTGACTCGCATATCCCATTTATCCTTCGACAATAGCTCATCGCAAGTGAATAATCCTTGTGAACGATTTTGCTTCTTTATTTAGCTTGTTTACTTTAACTCTCTTATACTTTTCAGAAATGAATGCACTATGAACATCTCAGAAAAATTAAGCGATGATCAGAACGTAACGATTGCACCCTATATGTATTTAGCTGGCAATTTAATACAAATACCGATCTATCCACGGAAACCTAATGGACACACTGTACAGGTAAAACTTACTTTGAGAAAATAACACAATAATATGTCAGGTGACAAAATTCGGACATAAAATCTATATGCAAATTTGCCTAAATGAGGTCTATCTGTATAAGGATTTTATTATAAAAAAAGATATCGTACAACGTAGAGGTTAGTTTTTTGTCAACAAATGAGTGGAATTTTAAAACTTAAGTCCAGAACTTTTGGTGCGATTTTCTTTTGTTATCTGGGACTTATCAATAGCACTCTGAGCTTGTATATAATATTTAACCATGTAATAAATAATACGCCCTTGTTTTTAATGTTTGTTTGTTTAACTATGTTTGTAGATGGGCACTTGGTTATCAAATAAGTTTAAGCGATACTTCATTTTGGATAAAATCCTTTCAAGAACAACTAATACTACTACGATGCTCTACTTGCAGACCTTGCTGATTCGGGTACAGTAAGTATTAAATTATTTATTTAATAACGACATTATGACTTATTATTAAAGTCCTATTGCTAAATCTCAGTAGGCGAAGGCTCAGTAATAACGCAACTTATAAAGCTTTCTCTATTACACATAGATTACACTTGTCACTATATATATTTGTAAGACGAAAATATTTTTTGTTGGTCTTCTGGACGTAGACGTAATTAATGACGTAATGCTAATGACTTAGGAGTGAGACTTGGGATGAACTGGGTATAGATTCAGACGCCACGTAGTGTATTCGTCAAGCCGCTCCTGACACATCCCTTTAAGTTAAAGGGAAATAATACTAGCAATGTGTGACAAAGTTTTTAGAAATATATTACTAGATCGCTTCTTATTCTACCAATAATAAGGTTGGCAATTTTTTAATTTAAATTCTCAACCAGGGTAGAAAGAGACAAGAATAGTCAAGGCTCGTTAAAACTGTACATATCAATCGAAGCAAACTACGCGACAAAATCTCAGCTTTCCAATACAATTGTGACTACTTTGAAAGTAATCCATGTCATGCCTGAAGCCGGTGTGCATCGAGGACTTGAGGTCAGTATACCTTGTAATAAATTCCCTGTAAACAATATACTATATACTCATTTAAATGTTCTGAATATATGACGACAAAGTTAATTACTTTTTCACGAGAAGCTTTCCTCTCATGTCTTAAGTATATTTTAACTTATTTCGTCTTATTCTGTCCCTAACATGGTTATTCTTCGCCACGTCGGCTTTAAAAATATGTATAGTCGTTATTTAGACTTTAAAACTTATTTTGAAGCAATCAAACATAATTGAGTAATACTTGGATAATCCACTGTAAAATTTATCACTAAAAGCTATCATTTTGTAAGAAAAACACCTCGTAGTTTAGATCCCGACGTCTGAGCCTTATCGCTGAGAAAAGTGATTATATGTGAAAAGTGAGTATATTAAATAGAAATAAAATAAAAAGTAGATTCTTTTAGATATGGGGTGGTGTATTAGGCTCTGTGCTGGCATTGTACGCGATGGTGCAATGGCGCGGTACCGTCCGAAGAGGCGGTCTGTACATCTCCATAGCCCCGCTGTTAGCCGGCTCCATCGCCGACACATTGTATTTCGTAAGTGTCCCTATAATACATTTATTTTTATAACTCAAGATGAATATAGCCTGAAACAAGGCCTCCTTTTGTAGAAGTCCCACTAACGACGATAGTCTAGTTTAGTCTAGTTTATAAGTTAACAAAACGGATTTGTGAAAACGACATATAGTTAGAATCCCATACTTGCACATCACCGATGTAAATGTATATAACATAATAACCTTCGTTTATCAAAGTGAGCTAGGTGATGCTTTTTTATATACTCTAATGTGTACAATAAAATATAATAAAAATGTATCCAAACCTGGGATTGTAAATATCAGCCTTAGTCGGTCCATATATCTAATGGAACATACCCATTTAACGTTACCCTTTTTTTACACATTTTACCCCTCTTCCCCCTCCCTTCGTTGACCATTTGGAAAATATGATTCTCCTCTTGTTTTTATGTAATAATACCTGTTGGTCTAGTGATTAGTGGCCCTGACTGCTAAGTAGGAGGCCGGTGGGTTCAATTCCCACCCAGGACAAATATTGTGTGAAGAGCACGGTCAATTGTTCTGTGTCTGGGTGTAATGTATCTATAATATTTATGTATTTAAAAATGTACAAGTAAATTTATCAGCAGTCTGGTCACCATAGTACAGGCTCCGCCTAGTTTGGGATTAGACAGCCGTGTGTGTGGTATATTATTAAAAACAAAAACATATTTTTGCAAAACAGAACGTTAAAAAAAATTGTCTCACATTTGTCTACTTGACAAAAACCTAAGGTTTCAAATCAAACTATACAAATCAAAAATTCCACGCTTGATCACAGTGGCGGCGCGGCGGCGGCCCTGGGACCAAGTGTGGAATTTTCGATAGCAACAATGAATAGGTCAAGCAGCATGGGCAAGCAATCTCTAACTGATTGTGTTCCGTTTCGTTCTGTGTATTTCCTTGGAGGGTTCTCATTATCAATACCATAACGAAATCCAATATTTATAGGTTTAATATTCATCATGTTTTGCAACCAGGCGACACTGTTTTCCACGCTCCACGCTTTGGCCGCAGAAGCTGGAACGATCGGATTGACACTACCGTTGTCGCGAGCGGAAGAGTACCTTATAAAAGCACTTATTTATTCCGCAGTTTCTTTAAAGGTAATTTAATATACAACTATTCAAATAGAAATTGGAATCAAAATAGGAACCTCATATATTTTGTTATGTGAGCAAAACATAGTTTGGGGCCTCGGACCTTCCGTCAGTTCGTGTTACAAGCTCCTCCTGCTCCAGCTTTTTCTTCACACTCCCCACTCTATCCGTATAAAGAATATCCTTTCCCACCACCACCTTCTCATCTTATCTACTACTTACATACCTTCCCTTCTTATACACACACCTTCCCTTTCATTGAACTAGGGATAGGAGGAGATAATATCCTATTTTCAAATATCCTAAAAGGCCCGTTTAACGCCATAAAGTTGGCCCCTATTTTAAAATTCTAAAGTAATCAAAGTGGGGCTTCTAATTCACCTCTGTCTACCTCTTCGGGGATACAGGAGTGAGTGTATATCAATATACTTTATTGTGAGTTATTTCTATCGTCCTATTTAGTTTCCGTGTTCACATTAATTCAATCCCAGTGCCCATGGTTCGATAAGTGACCTTGTTGAATAAAAACATACAAGCTACACTTGTACTGTTATTACTTTGGTATTCATTTGGATGTTACACAGATAATGTATGTGAATAGATGTGACAAGTAGAAAAATTCTTACTGAACCAATTCCGATTAACGTGTGGTTGTGTTGGGCGGTTTTTAGTCTAACCCTTTTTTTGAATACTGCTGTATTGCTTTATATTGTAAGGACTTAGTTTAGGAAAAGAAAGAAATAGATTTATCATAACTATTCAATATCAAAGAACAACTAAAAACGCACAATAGACCAATAGTATGTACTTTCAAAGTAATTTTAGAATTAATATGGACCTGATTTAAAAGCCTTCTTTTTTTTTCAATTTAGGCTTATACTGTTGGTTTAATGTTATTAAAACTAATTTCGTATAAAAATACACTGTTTTACAACTATTACCGCGCTTTATAGGGAAGATTCTGGCGTAATTGAATATAGTCAAATTTAAAAATGACAAAACGGAAATATAGGTCACAAGTATTTTGTTATGACTCGAGATTTGTAACACCTACAATGTTGTCAACTTACACCCGTGAAAACAAGTTGGAATGTTTACAATGCAAAACACATCACATTTTTACATTAGTACATAGGTAGTACTTTTACTTAATGTAGTTATTACTTTCAGGCTTTCAAGGTGGCCTGGATCAACATCAAACAGTGTCGTTGTGATATTTTCTTCCTTAACTGGTCAGAGTACAACCCACCATTTAAAGGTTAGTTCTTTTTCTTAACTTTATCTATATACAAGTAAGGAAAGAAGTATAAATTTGTAGTCAAATTTAAACTGGAATGAAACTTTGAACCATAAAAAAATTGGGGATTGATGGCGGTAGACAGAACTATAATTTAGTGACACATATGTAATTGATTGAATTAAAAGTGTTTTTTTTCATTATATTAAAAGAAAAAGATAAGAAAGCAATAGAAAAATAAATGTAGCTTATACGGATGGATTGAATGGTATAAGTAATAAATAGCTCAAAGGGATCTGGGTCCCGTACCTGGAATTCGAACTATTATTTACCGCGAATGCCGAGATTTCTAACCATAATAGTAGTGCACTCACTACTATTAGGGGATCCATGGGGATGGTACATATGTACCATTCTCATCGAGCTGAAGTGATACTACTAGTTTCAGCGTCTGTTGACTGGTGACTGTAACTGCATAAATGGTACTATGCATTACCACTTTTTATGTCATGATTGTATAGTTGAGATAGTTTTATTTTGGAACAGTTAGCAGTAGATGGGTAGTTTAAAAATGCCTTTTTAGAAGTCAGACCATCTGATGGTTGGAAAACTAAGTATAGGCCTATGCCTATTGTTATCTGTTGGTTATCTATGATAACAATAGTCAACGGCATCAAATCTGTTTAACTCTTTAATTTTTTAATATTACTACATTCGGCTAGGTTTAATATTTTATGTTTGTAGCAAAAACATTCTCTCAAAAAACTGATCAACATATAACAGGTCTTAATTGTATCCCACTTGACGATTCGATGTATATAAGATCGATTAAAACCGTAAAAATATTACATATTGAAAGATAAAATATTTGTTATCTGTATCGAGAAGGTTATACCCCAAATTTTGCAGATATTCAAGAAATACAAATACGAATTCGTTTGAGGCGTCGTCTTAGGAGCGGAAACTGGAGTCTTTCACCCTAGGGAAATAAACTGAACCCTGAGCTTCCCAAGAAAAATTAAACACACCATTATACAACGTTCGCTGTTATTCCACTAAATTCGAACTTTAGGGAAAAATCAGTAAAAATTAAAATTATTAACTGCAGAATTATTGACCAAATTTGGGTCAATGTACAAATTAATTAAAATAACTTCCAAACCCTTATTTAAAACAGTCTTGTTTCCCTTGTAAACTATGATAATATAAACAAAGGAATATTGGATCAATTTTTTTGGAGGCTATTTCCAGTGAAACAAACGCTCGTCGAAAATCTTTGGCCTTCGTATTTATAAGTTTATTCTAATAAATTAAAGTTAACTAGATTAGTCACAGATGTCAATATTTTTTGTCAAGATATGTCTTAACTTTGCATAAATAAATAAGACGTACCCCCATGTGACAATAAAATGGATATTTTACTGCATAGGTACAATTTCCTAATGTGTGGAATAAACGAATCCGTCTTATGGAAATGAATGCGATGATGTAATATATGAATGTTTTATACTAATACGCGGGTCTTAGTTTCAACAAATTATGTAGTTCATCTTATTTTGTCTTCTCATATAGGTACATAATACATTTTAATTTCACTGAAAGGTAGCCTGAAGCGTAGTGAAATTAAATTTTGTTATTACACTATTCAGACGCGTTACATTATATACGTATGTAAGTATATACTTACGGACCTTACGATCACATAATTTTGAAATGTTTGAATTGTCTCAACGATTAGCACAGGCCAGTTCCCGTATTGAACAGGAAAAAAATGTTGTCTTTATTCAATCTCGTAATGGTAGATTATATAAAAATGTGGACCCATTTAGATTTATGTCGTCACGATTTTTCATATTTCTAGTATCGATTTTATATATGTTTGATAGCCGATTGAATGGAGGAATGATTATCATTTCTGAATGATTTACATAGGGTTCCGTAATTGTGTTGTTTCTACTTTTATAGATGCATGTACAATGGATAAGCCTGGTAATTGGAGAGCTGTGACATTGGCTAGAGAATGGAGTAGAATGCAGACGATGCGCAGAGTCTCAACGGGTCATACAGTTATTCTAGCACTGCTTATTTTACATGTAAGTGTAAATCTAAGTAGGCATTGTCAGCTGAATTCAATGAAAATAAATCGTATTTTATTCGTGGCACGATCAGTAAATTTTTCAAAACCTAAAACCAACTTAGTTTTTAAGGAAACTTTTTAAGTATTCTGTGAGGCCGGACATGATCGTGGTAGGAATCTTCATTCCTCGATGAAAGCCCTCATAAAGACCGAAACTAATCAGGAACCTCGAACTACAGTAATATTATCTTCAAGAAGACTTCCAAAAAGCATATAATTTTTAGGTGTTCTTCTTTTGTGAGTAAGTAATTTACAAAAGAAGAACAATTACTTTTCTATAAAGTTAAAAATTTATTAAAATACGGTTGAATTTCGAACGCAGGGCAATCGTTAGTTTATTTTCATTACTCACCTTTTATATAGAGTTGAACCACTAAAATTTAGTAGGCAAACCGTCAAAAGAAAATTAACGAATAGACAAAATATAATTTAGAATACCACCATGTATATTCAAGAGTGCTTCATGAAATGTATTAAGTATATGACGACGCCTATCCTAGACATTTATGAAGATAATTTTGTGCCTAACTAAACGCGATGAATGAAATCTTTTATTCCAAGCATGCACACTGAAAAATCGTACGAGAGCAAAGTTCACATAAAGAATTCAAGAGATACCTACCTTTTGAATATTTTATTCCTAGAAAACACTTCACAAACACAGAGTAAATTCCTATATTCTTTGTAAGAATACGTAAAGTTAAGGTAAATATGATATTTACATTCGTTTACCTACTTTTCTAAGTCAAAATGTGATTTCACCTACTTCTGATATAATTTTAGGTATAGTTAAGTTCTATTTACTAAAGACTAGATGTACCTAACGTGGATTGGTTTAAAAGTAAGTTTTAAAAATCAGTATTCTGTTGGTCTTAGCAATCATTTACTACTTTACTACGAGAATACCTTCTATGAGATTTCTCAAAAATGTGTGAGCTTATCGAATTTGAAAGGTTACCGTACAAAGGAAGTATCTGACAATAATACATAGTACCTATATTATATAAAAAGATTATGTATAGAAATTTTGATCTACATTGCATTACAAAGTGAGTGATGAGACATAAACCACCTGTGGTTTTCTTCACTGTTACTGTGTTTATATGAAGTGTAACCTGAAGGCCAATTCTCGTATTAAAAGTTCGATCACAATTCCGTTCCGATCAACTGTCATAAAAGGTATTTCGGTAGGAAAATAGTAAAGTATTACTAAGACTAGCAGATTACCGATTCAATTTACGGTTACAATACGATATAATCACATTACAGTCAACGTTGGATGTTTAATACTTTACTACGAAAATGCGTTTTATGACAGTTGTGAAATCGAAAGTTGATCGGAATTGAATTGAGACCGATATCATCATTAAAAACAACGATTTTTTATTACAAGAATTGCCCATCAAGTAATCAGTCTTATCGTTTGCCCTTAAGCCATAGAAGATTTAGATATAAAATACTGTAAGAACCAATTAGGTATAGACATATTTTTTTGTTTGAGATTTGAAACAACATTTGAACATTAATGTAACAATAAAATTCGTAAAATATATTAACTGTTATTTATCTTTTTACCAGCTTCTTAGACCTTGGCAGTCGTATTTACCTCCAAGTCTTGGCTACAAATGGGCTGTAGCGACTATCGCGTGGTGGTCTTCGTACACCACATTCCTATTGGGTCGGTTGGCATGGGACAGACTGGTCGCCTCACCAGTTAAAAGTTTGCCAAAGATTTGCACCAACGTTGGTCTGTCGTTATTGGTATTCGAAGAAGATTATTATGCGCATTATGTTCATGGCAGGTAAGAATAAAGAAAACAGGTTTCATTCATAGGTCTTAGTTGCATCTTTGTAGAATGCGACACCATCTAGCATTGGTAGAATGCGTTCTTGACTATTCGTTTTGGAAAGCGTTGTTTTGTTATTTTATCGTCACGTAGTGAAATAGTGCTTACAAACATAAATTTTATGTGAAAATGAAGCTTCCTAACACTTTTTAATATGCTAGGCAGTCAACGCAGATATTCATATACCTAAGTAAGGAAATTTGTTTAAGCTTTCTGCAGCTGCATTCTAATTCACTGATACTCCACAAATACGTTATGAATGCACCCAAAAATGACCGATCTCTGATAGTATATTGTTGGTTGCCTTTGCAATAGTATACAGGGTCTAAGAAACATCGTAACGAATACTGAAATTGTGTATTCAGACCATTATTCTGAATCTAAAATCATTGTAATTTTCTACCGGAAAATTCAACATTTTATGCAATCAGCTGTGTTCCCGTAGGTATCGCACAAAAGTAATAACTACATGTGTATTCCGTACAAACAGTCTACGCACACTAACACAAGTTAGTGGCCGGAGGAGAAGTCCCGCGCGCTTCTGCTGTTTGATTAATGACATTGTAGTTTTTGACCGTATGCGGTATTTATTAAATTGTTTTCGGTGAAATGTTCTGCTTACTCATTGTGATCATTTTTAACCAAAAAAAGTTCAGTATTCATTACGATGTCCCTTACACCCTATATTTAATTTAAATAACACTAACTTTGTTTTATATAAGAAATGACGACTCTAAAGACCTGAGGTCCATGGCTGGGCCGCTAGCAGCATGTCGAGTTGTCTGCGCACCACAATTGAGGTATTTCAACAAATATTTATTATTATTGTAAATTATACTTTATGTGAAGTGTATGAAGTATGATATTTACTCGTATAATTACAGGGTTATATACAAGCAGCTGGCACTTTCTATAACAGGTAGGTACATTAAGCTTAATTAGATACTTGCAGTTAGTCTTTACATTTACCTTTTTTTACAAATATACTTTGAAAATCATCTTTGAATTTTAAATTAACTTTAAAAAGATAATGATTTGAAAACACAAGGCATGACGTCATGCATCAGCATTTGATACAAAATTCTGCCACCCCTGCCTTTGTGATGTTTATTAAAAATATTCTGATTCGTCTTGAAATATACTTTGTTTGTAGATTTAGGAGAAACCGAGACAAGACAAGCTTTACTGTCACGCTTCTTAGCTGCGTTTTTTGAAAGGGTAAGTTCTTATAGTATTTAACATAATTTTGTTGTAAGTATGTCACGACAATACAAATGCAAGCCAGTTTAAGAAAAGGATATGCCCGTTTTCTTAAACTGGCATGCACTTGTAATCATAAAGCTACATGAACAATATTGTTTTCAAAGGCTTTGGATGGACTAAGCTGGGTTGCCAGCGAACTCACAATATTGGAGAGGTTATTAGATGTAGAACTGACGACTAGAGAAGCAGGCAACACTAGCACTCTCTTATATGATCCTGCTAATAATACTCCTTCGTGTTTTGCTGTAACTTGGTAAGTTACTTCTTATCAGACAGAAAAAATGACCGTGCTCATCACACAATATTTGTCCTGGGTGGGAATCGAACCCACGACCTCCGGCTTAGCAGTCAGGGGCACTCCACCACTGAGCGCTTTTCGAGACACTCTTTGCCTCGCACTATCAACCTGTGGAACGGATTATCGTCTGCGGTATTTCCGGTCCGATACGACCTTCAAGATAAGGGCCTACTCCTTCTTCAAAGGTCGGCAACGCGCTTCTAACTCCTGAATTGCAGGCGTTCATGGGCGGCGGTAGTGGCTTTCTATCAGGTGACCCGTCTGCTCGTTTGCCCCATATTCCATTATAAAAGAAAACTAACCACTAGACCAACGGGCACGCCTAAATAGACGGATTCAGAATGATATTTTAGTCTAAAACTTTTTTTTTCTTTATAAAAAGACAACTCCCGCACTAGGAATATATCCTGTCTCGCGGGGACTTTACAAACATATATGAAACGGACACAAAGAACACCCAGACAATTTGTGGATCCCACAGAATGTCGTCCTATGTGGGAATCCAGTGTCAGTAACCCTTACTTCAACGACAGAGATTGTGGATTCGATTCCCACCCAGGACAACTAATTGTGTGATGAGCACGATCATTTGTTCTGTTTCTGGGTGTAATTTAACTTTAATATATATATTTATTATATATAGGTATGTTTATAAGCAACCTGATTACCATAGTACAGGCTCTGCCCAGTTTTGGATCAGACAGCCGTTTATGAGATGTTTGTAAACAGTCGTATTATCAGCTCGTTCCAATCAACGAAAAATTTATTAACGTCATAATTGTTATCGCAGTAAACAAATTCAGTAAACATACTCTTCAATTTCTAAGGAAATTCAAATACATGCAATAGATTTGCTTACTGTATTTTCCTTGTTTGACTTCGTGGGCTTTTCGAAATATTCCTTCTAAAAGCTTTTGTGATATTATTTTTCTATTTTAAACATTAACAACATAGTAGATTGTATATAAACTTCTATGTACAAACCTTGACTAATAAGTATTTAAAAAGACTAAGACAGATTTTAAATAAGGAAAAGAGGCAACACGGATTTTTTTAATAATTCAGGTAAAGTTCTGTGACATGATTTCATAATAGTTAAATCTTTATATTTGCTAGTTAAAGAAAGAGCAAAAATGAGTAAGTAATAATTTACAAATTTTACCTTTTAAGGTGGGGAGAGGAGTGGAATCTATCAACGTTTGATGCAATGGTCTTCGGAAGTGTCTTCATCGCATTGAACGATGCTTTACTCGCAGCACTGATCACTGTTATCCTATGTCAGGTGAGGTGTTATCCGGCTGTGAAATACTTACAGTATAAGGACCCTAACCCTGGGGAGTGAGACAATTGCAAGATCGGTTATTAATCTAAAATTAATAATAGTCTATGGAATTCAGCAACAAAGATATAGTTTGGCTATGAATTGGGACTACTGCTTAGGTAAACGCAATCGTTTCCTACAAGAAATATTGATTTAACTGTCGTGGTTGAAGAATCTAAATCTCTCGTGTACTCTCGTTCCGCTCTAACTATTCTAATCACTAGTATAAAGTCGCATAAATAATACATTTAAATTTTTGATTCACCTAACTTTTTTTTTTCAAATCGTGATGGATCTTTAACTTAGGACTTAGATCTTATTACAGGAATTCGGGATCTTGGAAAACACTAAAAGATTACAATAATAACTTGTGTGTAATAATGTATATCGTTGTAATCTTTCCATATTAGCTTTAAGGAGTAATTCTCATGTTAGACCGTCAAAAAATTCTAAGCTATATTAGATGCCAGCTTTGCCCGCAGCGCCGACCGCGTGCATATCAGTTATCGCGGTAAAAATTATCCTATATTACTCGCTGTTAATGTAGCTTTCCATACTGGTGGTAAAGTCGGTTTAGTGGTTAAGCTGTGAAAATGAAACAAACAAACAAATTCACTTTCACATTTGAGTATAATATGATATGATATAAGGATGAAAGTACCTATGGATTAAAACGTAAAGCAGATCGTAGAAAAGTAAAGTCTACTGCTAGCGCCACCTAGGAATTAAAGTATTGACTACAGTTAATAATAATTACTTTTCGAAAGTGAAGATGGCTCTTCTCAAGCTAGTTCATAGAACAGTACCCCAGTTTATTTGTTTTAACAGCATATCTAAGGCGTTGTGTTATTAATTAATAACACAAGGCTTCCTTGTCACATTATTTTATGTAAATAAACAAAACTCATCATCTGCCTACCCTTTTCCCAATTTTATTTGGGGTCAACAAACAAAACTATCTTTATTAAAGTAATAGTAAAAACATTTTTTAACCACTTAGATATAACCCTTGGGGTTATTTTTTTTATCTGATGAGAGACAACAATATAATAACATATATATGTATATATTAAACTCCTTTAGGTACATTCTACAAATAAATGTAATCTTATTGCATGTTAACTTACTTAACAAAAAGTGTTTTCAATTTCAGGCTATGAAAATACTACGCAGACTGTTTGGCAATAAAAATCAACGAGATAAAACTGAAATTGATTTCTACTAAGATTGTCACATTCAAGATCTTTGTAGTCGCAAAATAATTTTAGACATTTCACGAAAAAATATTACAGTGGTAAAATAGAAAAACAAAACAAAAAAAACGATTTAATTCAGCAGTCTATACCTTAAATACTGTTATTCTTGATTGAAGTGATTAGACTGATTATTAACATTCGCATTTAATATTGAAAATAAACGTTTGTATGATGTACCTTACGTTATACTCAAACGATAACGGTATATGCTGTGAAATTAAGCCATTTTGTGTCTCAATTTTGATTTGAATCATGTAAGTCCATATGGAGTGACAACAACAAAAGTATTAATTAATTATATGTTTGTAGATTTGTTACTAAAATGACAGAAAAACTGTATATTATAAGTTATATTATTATACTATGCGTAACGATATCAGTAGGGATAAAACACGAAGGATATATCATTAACCCAAGAGGAGATATTTTTATAAGATTTTTGAGCAATTATTTGAATTTGTTGGTTGATGGTTGTTCAGGGAAACAGCTCAAAAACCATTGTCATATTATGTATAAAGAACTCGCCAATATTGGCTACAAGTATACAAAAAGTTTAGCTAAAATTTTCAAAGACCTGTCTAAATTATATACCGAGCTCATTCATGAAGAGATAAAAACGTATCTCAAAGAACTCGATAGAAATACAAATCGACGATCTGAATTCTTAAAAGCTTTGGATGAGGCATTTCATGCAAGAGAACTTATTCTATTTGATAATTATATAAGCGACCTTTCTGCTTACTGTAACAAAGACAAATTGTTTATTAAGGATGAAACACACAAGCTTTTGCATGAAGTTATTCTGTATGGTATTGAAAAATTAAGTTATAAGAAACAAAGAGAACTAAGGAAGAAATTAGACAAAGCTGTTAAGGAATATTCAAATATTGACGTAATGGAGAAATTGCAAATGTATGATATACCAATTCCTACACGATGGTACAGCTTGGCTGAAAAAGAAAAGAAGTAGCTTGAAACTACTAAAAGAAAACCATGAACAGAAATTACACTCTTATGATGAACTAAGTAGTGAAGGTAAGAAGAATTCCAAGAAGGTACGATACCTAAATTTCAATTTAATTAAAAATGTACTATCATATTCTGTGGTATTAATAGCGATAAAAAATGCAACGATTGTTTAAATTATTTTCCCAGTCTAGGTATGGAAAAAGTGGCCATTTTGCTGTCCTTACACGCACCTCATATGGTTATTTAGAGTCAGGTACGAGAAATGTAAAAAAAAGTGTATTTTTTTAAGAAAAGTGGCATTAGCTTTTCCAAACAATGTTTGGTACTTTTTGGGCTATTTGCCTCTATTTTGTGGGATACTTTGACGGATAGATGTGTGAAATAAACATCAATAGTCCTAACACTAATTTAAATTTCTTTAGATTCCTTAACAACATGAATAACCTTAACAAAAACAAAATTAATACATTTGGCAGGGTACATAGTTTTAATGTAATAACTTCTTTCATTTTATCCATAATCAGAACCATTTTTTTAGATTTAGTTGAGACTTTCTCCGACTCCGAACTGCTATTCTGGAATCTGAGACTATGTTCAAAGCTTACTTGCTATCTACCGCATACTCCATTTCTGGTTATATCCTCATACGTAATGACAGAATCGATAAGATAGGGGGGATGGGATGGGGGTGTTGCACAAAAGTAAAATAAAAAAGAGGTATTTAGCACTGCTTCTGCTGAATACCTTTTCCTTGAGGTTTGCTTCAAGCAAACGTGTAACGTTGAAGTAGCCAACGTTGGGGGGACATTAAACTATTATTGTCCTCCCAACGTTGACTACTTCTCCAGTCTCGTTTGTATATACGTTCTTTATCAGCCACTCATCACAACACTAATGGACCCGACCCCTGGCTGGACATTATCCTCACCTCCTATCCCTCCCTCATCCGGAATCATGTGACCATGCTTACACTCTGCCTCTGGTTCCCGTGACCTCATCTACGTATCCTATTGTATAAAACCTCCAAAGCCCAGTCCTAAGGAACTACACTTAAATATCAAGACAAACTTAAATATCATCACATCAATAGTCTTTAACAGTCCACTGCTAGACATAAGCCTCTCCTTAGAAAGGAGGTGTTGGCCTACTATACCACGCTGACCAGACGGGTTGGTATAGGGTTTGTGTCAAGTTTTCCTTCTCTCTGCAGTGCTGTTGTTCTGCGTAGTTTTTTCCCTTAGTCGGCTCTTACGACACCCACGGAATGAATAGGCGTGGTGTCACTCCGTATTCTTAATTTATCACCACACGGACTTATTATTTAGTACTTAATATATTGTCCTGCCAACCTTCCTATTTGTCTTTGACGGATAACACACGTAAATTACTTTCCACAGACTGCTCTCATTAGGCTTCTTTAGGCCTCATTAGGCCCACGGGATGAATAGGGGTGGTGACACTCTGTATTCTTAATCCGTCACCACACGGACAGGTGCCTTCAAATTAAATTGGAAACCCGTGCTGGAGGCCGCTGCAAAAGACAACAAAGTTAACTTGTTTAACACTATCTTAATAAACCTTTACGATCAACACGGCCTAAATACGAAGATCAAATTAAAGCGTCCTCCGGCCCCCTGGATAACCATAGGTCTTCGAGAGGCAATGCGTCGCATTTTGAATACCACCTTTTGAATAACCACATTCGATTCGTCTTTAACCTTCGCAAATACGACCATGTTTTCTCCTCTGGTCACGAATTGAACTGGCTCATGATTCGTCAGCGCCGTCAGCTGCACTCCCTCACCACTCTCTATTCTATTCTCCTCTTATTTACCCTCCCTACCTGACACCTTCATTCCAATTTCTATCTTCCAATCACAACAAAACAATGCGATCACCAAACAATCCACTTCTGTTTTGCCCCACTCTTCGTTCCTAATCCGATCTGACCTCCTCTGGAAAGCACCCAGCCGCGTGGCATCAAAGAAGAAAGTCCCTGCTCGAATTCTGGACACTCTAGCAAATTCATCACATCCCTAAAGTTTTATATATTGTATTATATATATGTATATTATGTACGAATATGTATGTAACTCAGCGAGTATATATGTAGGTATGTATCTCAGTACGTATATCTGTCACACTGTTTCTGTCCATCTCCTTCATTATTATTATCTTGTTAACACAAAAACTTAATTTCTAGTGCACCTACTCACACATTTCCTCACGACCTAAAAGGTTAAGTAAGTAAGTAAGTAAGTACAATCAATTATTATTTGTGCAAAAGAATTAAATAAATAAATTTTATTTTTACAAATTATTTTAAACATTTAAATTTTTATGAGTATCTGGTATACTATAAATATAAATGTATCTATTTATCTTAAAATTCATGCAGCTTGAAGCTGGTAGCCATTTTTAGATAAATAAGTACGAACAAACAAACATAGATTTATTAGATATAACTGGTACAAACATAGACTTATAAGATATACCTAAGTATAAGATCAACTTAAACATTGTTTATGTAAACTAGCCCCTGACTCTGGTTGATAACAAAAAGATATTAGTTAATATTAACACCGTTAAGTAACTTATAAGCGTAAAACCACAGAACAGTGAATAAACATTAGAAGTGCGATTAACAGTAAATCAGAAAAGTTCCGTTGTCGCCCAGACGCACACATAAACGATAAATAATATTTGACACACATAAAAAAGTTTACGCTAATTCGTACCACTGGCTTTATTGAATATAAATCGTAAACGCCACTTATAATGTTACTAAATACAACCTTAACGCCTTCAAAAAAAAATTTTTTGTTGTTTTAAGTTTTATTTTTTAATTCCTTTATGAGGAAGAATTTTGCCTATTTTTGCTATCGTTACAGTTTATCAAAATATGCATCACCAAAACAAAAATCAAGTAGAAATTCATAGCATTTAGGAAATACAACCTACTAAAGTTTTTTAAGATAATTTTGGTTTCAAGGGTTGTTGTTGTTCTTTAAAGTTGGTTTTTTATCACAGTTTATATAAAGTAACAACTTTTCAAAAATAAAAAATGAAAATAAATTATCAGGTGACATCCCTGAAAAAATACAATTTACAAAATACACAAAACGCAATAATACAATAATACATTTTATTTCAGGGTCAATAATATTTCAAATATCTATACTATTTATTGACTCTGAAATAAATGTATTACTGTTTTTGTTTTTTTCGTTTTGTTTCTTTTAAATTGTATTTTTCATTGCATTTTGCATTTGAATATTTATATATTTCAATATCGCTTTTGTTAAGTCGGATAATGATTTGATGAGGGTTATTTTTATACTTATTCATTAAATATGTTCTCGGGAAGAACTTGAGAACTATTTTTTTAAAAATTTTTTTAAAAAAAAAAATTAAAAAAGGGGGAAAACCGGTTAAAAATAAAAAAATTAAAAAACCCCCCTTTTTTAAATTAGTTTGATTTGGTTAATAAAAAAATTTTTAAAAAATTTAAAAATTTAAAAAAACCCAGCCCCCAAATTTTTTTAAAGGCTTTTGGGGGGAAAAATTTTTTTGGGGTTTTTAAAAAAATTTTTTTTTAAAAAAAAAAAAAAAATTTTTTAACCCGGGTTTTTTTGGGGGGTTTTTTTTTTTTTAAAAAAAATAAAAAAAAAAATTTTTTGTTTTTTTTTTTTTTTTTTTTTAAAAATTTTTTTTTTTTTAAAAAGTTTTTTTTTTTGGAAAAAAAAACCCGGGTTTTAAAAATTGGGAAAAACCCAAAAAAATTTTTAAATTTTTTTTTTTTTTGGGGGGGTTTTTTTGGGTTTTTTTTTCAAAAAAAAAAATTTAAAAAAAAAAAAAAAAAAATTTTTTTTAAAAAAAAAATTTTAAAAAAAAAAGGGGGGGAAAAAAAAAAATTAAAAAAAAAAACAAACCCTTTTATTTTTTTGAAATAAAAAAAATTTTGGGTTTTTTCCCTTTTTTTTTTTTTTTTTTTTTTTTTAAATTTTTTTTTTAATTAAAAAAATTTTTTTTAATGATTTTTTTTTTGGAAAAGGAAAAAATTTTTTTTTTTTTTAAAAAAAAAAAAAATTTTTTTAAAAACCCCGGGGCTTTTTTAAAAATTTTTTTTTAAAAAAATTTTTAAAAAGTTTTAAATTTTTTTTTTTGGGGGGAAACAAAAAAACCTTGTTTTTTAAAAAAAAAAATTTTTTTTTTCCCCCCAAAAAAAAAAAAATTTTAAAAAAATTTTTTTTCCCTTTTCCCCAAAAAAAATTTTAAAAAAAAATTTTAAAAAAAAAAAAAAAATTTTTTAAAAAAAATTTAAGGGGTTTTTTAAAAAAATTTTTCTATTTGTTTTTTTTAAAAATTTTTTAAAAAAAAAATTTTTTTTTCCCCCGGGAAATTTTTTTTAAATTTTTTTTTAAAAATTAAGGGGGGGGGGAAAAAAAAAAGGGGGGAAAAAAAGGGAAAAAAAGAAAGGGAAAAAAAACCCCAAAAGGAAAATTTTCAAAAAAAAAAAAATTTTTTTTTAAAAAAAAAACAAAAAAAAAAATTTTAAAACTTTTTTTTTTTTTTTGGGGAAAAAAAAAAAAAAAAAAAAATTTTTTGGGTTTTTTTTAAAAATTAAAACCCCTTTTTTTTTTCCCTTTTTTTAAAAAAACCCCCCCCCCCCTTTTTTTTTTTTCCCGGGGGAAAAAAAAATTTTTTTTTTTTTTAAAAACGGGGAAAAAGGTTTTAAAAAAAGGGAACTTTTTTTTTCCTCGGGGGGAAAAAGGGAGGAAAGGGGTTTAAAAAAAAAAACCCAAAATTTTTTTTTTTTCCCGGCCCAAAATTAAAAATTTTTTTTGGGGGGGGTTAAAATTTTTTCCCCCCCCCAAAAAATTTTTTCCCAATTTTTTTTTTTAAAATTTTTTAAAAAAAAATTTTTTTTCCCCCGGGGGGGTTTTTTTAAATTTAAAAATTTTTTTTGGTTTTTTCCCCCCCAAAAAAAAAAAAAAAAGG